AAAGGCCAGTAGAACCCTGGCCAAAGTCCAAGGACAAAGCCGAGGTCCCAACGGCATGCCCTGATGTGAATGTGGGTAAATTTTCCATCTGCATACACTCCTCGGTGGTTCGCTGTGCCATCAAATGCAACCGAAGCATGGGGCGCCCAACCCCCTGGTTTGTGCATCTAGCACGTCATTCTTGCAATCGCTACCTACCCAATGTCCGACAAAATCCCTGATTTTCGGGCTTGTTTCATGTGTGGCATGTGCGAATGCATAATTCTAAAAAATATAAGCACATATATATATATATATATGTGTGTGTATGTATATATATATATGTATATATGCGTGTGTTTTTATTTGTTTTTATGTGTTTATAAATATGTATGTATGTGTGCTTTAAAAACGATTTCATGCATTATGTAAATTTCTAAATTTGTACATGTGCATTTAAATGGTTTAAATGCATTTAACTACATGCATATAAGTGTGTCTGTGTATTTGTGTGTATGAATGTATGCATATGTATGTGTGTATGTGTGCATGCGTGCATGAGTGTATATGTATGTATGTCTGTCTGTCTTTCTGTCTGTCTGTCTGTGTCTGTCTGTCTGTCTCTGTCTGTCTGTGTGTCTGTCTGTCTGTCTGTCTGTACGTATGTATGTCTGTCTGTCTGTCTGTCTGCCTGCCTGCAGGTAGGTAGGTAGGTAGGTAGGCAGGTAGGTAGGCAGGCAGGCAGGGAGGCAGGTAGGTAGGTAGGTGTGTATGTATGTGTGTATGCGTGTATGTATGTATGTATGTATGTATGTATGTATGTATGTATGTATGTATGTATGTGTGTCTGCCTGCCTGGCTGCCTGTCTATCTGTCTGTCTGCCTGTATGCATGCATGCATGATGGCTGTATGTCTGTATGTCTGTACGCATGGTTGTGTATGATTATTTATGCTTATGCGTGGTTATGTATGATCATGTATTTTCATGCATGGGCATGTATGGTTGTGTATGACTACGTATGATTATGTATGATCATGAATGGGCAATGATCGTGTACATTTATGTATGATTGTTTGGTTATGTATGACTATGAATGACTACGTATGATTTTGTAATCCCTTCCCCCTATTCCTAAACCCCCCCGCAAATAATAAAAACTAGGGTCCATCTCTAATTTTGGAAAATTTCAGATTGGCCAATTTGACTTTTAATTGATCCATTACATTCCATTACATTCCATTACACCACATTACGTTGGATTACATTACATTACATTACACTACACTACATTACATTACATTACATACATAAATAATTATGCATGATCATACGTGAGCATACATGATAACATGTGATTACATATAATCATGCATAATCACACAATGATACATTATTCAACACGATCATACATGATCATAATCCTTTCCCCTTAATACTAAACCCCCCTCCCCAAATAACAAACACTTCAGGTAGTTTTTATAATTAGGGGGTTATTTATTATTAGGGAACCTTATCAATAAATCTAATACCTTAATCGAAGGAAGTTTAGAAGTCAAACTTCCGACAATATGGACGGATGAAAAGCAGAGAAAGATTAGAAGAGAGAAGATCGGAGAAGAGAAAGAGTCAGAAGAAAGAAGATGCAGATGCGCGAAAAGGTAGGAAAGTCGCGAAACACTGTGTTTTTCCAATGATTTGAAGCTCCGGAGGGTCGAAAAGTCAACTTGCTAAAGCGGCGGGTGCGGAGCCAGCTGGCCAGATGAGAGATGAAAAAGTGGACGCCATTGTGGCGCGAAGCACATTTCGAAGTCAAAATGTACAAAACACCTCAGCGTCGGACCACTTTTGGAAGTTGCGATGTCAAAAAAGTGCACGCCGTTGTGGCGCGAAGCACATTTCGAAGTCAACATGTACAAAACACACCATGCTCGGACCACTTTTGGAAGTTGCGATGTCGAAAAAGTGCACGCCGTTGTGGCACGAAGCACATTTCGAAGTCAAAATGTACAAAGCACACCATTGTCGGACCACTTTTGGAAGCCCGCTCAATTTGATCTTGTAGTCGCTGTGGCCGAACCCAAATCGCCAACTGGAGTGCCAGGTTGAGCTGTCGAACCTTCACGGTTCCGATAGAAACCTGAAGCCTGGCCCAAAGGAGTTGCCTGAGAAGCCGGCTGGATTGCTGCGATCACCTCCGGAACAGTCAAAGGAGGGATGAGCTCTTCATCACTGGGTGCAGGCCGCGGCATAAGTCCAACACCAAGTCCAAAGCTGCACGGGAACTGGAAGTTCAGTGAAATTTTCATCCAGCAACTCAGGCTCAGTGTTCTCCGGAACTTGGGCAGGCGGTTCCATGGAAATAGCACATCTTTCACTGCCTCCTCCCAAGCGCCAAACGAAATCTGCTCCAAGGAACTGGCCTTCCTCACATGTTCCAAGCCACATTTGGCCAACTGACCCTTGAGGCTAAGAAAGGCATTGGCTCCAACACCACTATCCTTGCCATTCTCTATGGCCACAAGTATTGCAGGCCCAAAATGGCCCAAACCATCGCCGCAAGTCCAACTTTCGGCGACTTGTAGCGCCAGTACCTTTGCCACGGGGATTACAAAAAATAGCAAAGGTCACCGGGCTGGGGAAGGTCAGACAAAGTAGTGGATCTTGCTCTGGCCAGCTCACCTCCACGCAAACTTCTGGGAAAATGCATGCGCACCATGGCAACTCGTGCCGCTTCACGTAGGGCAACTTGGCGAGGTAGGCTAGGCTTGTTCTCGACGATGAATGTGCCAATCGATTGCCAACTCCAGCAAGAACATCACCTTGGGCCGGCTGCTGACGTCCAGCGACGGCCTGAAGTGGACTGACGCCCTTTTCATTGATGTCTGAATAGCACGCCGCCACAGCTTCTGCGATTCCAAGCCGCATGTCGTCAGCACCTGTCAAACTGCATGTTCTCACCAAGGCGGCTCCAACTATAGCTTTCTGCAATGCCGTTCTGCCAAGGACAGTGCGCACCGATATGGTGCAAAAGGATTGAGCGACTGCTACACCACTCTTCGAACTCATGGCTGATGAACTCCCTCCCCTGGTCTGCTGATCTGGGGGGCACCGAGAAGTGGAACCCAGTGAGTGGTAATGAAGTTGATCATTGCTGCTGAAGACTTGTTGGGCAACAGGACGGCAAGCTGGTATCGGGAAACTTTATCAGTTGCCTGTCCAACAAGGTAAGTCTGCTGAAAAGCATCTTCAACCACCAGGATGTTTACCTGTAGTTGAGCTCCAAAATCATGAACTGCCGGAAAAGTGGCCGGATGTCGGGCCTTGGGAGCTCGTCTTTCGCTGCAGGCATCACACTTCAGATGATTGGCTGCCAAAACGGCTTCTTTTGGCGCACCACAAATTACAAGAGCTGGGGCCAGTCTAGCACCGGAGCGATGCCCAGCGTTCGCGTGCAAACGTCGCACGGCTGCTCAAATTGCTGTAGGAATCTTGGCGTTCTCCACCTCAGACGGCACCTTGGCTTCACCATCACTGCTAAGGGGGTCATCTTCCATCTTTGGCTCCAAGGATGCGTCGGCGGCCAAGGGTTCATGAACTTGCATAAGGGCCGTCTCATGATCAAACTGATCCGTCAGACCTGACACCATAGCTGTCGCAAAGGATTGTGTGTAGCGTCCGGCAGGGCGGGTGACTTTGGCACCGCCCATGACAGCAACATGTTCAGGACGACCTTTGCAACCCATGCCCATGATCCTGGAAATCAACGCCTGGCTGGAGGAAACAGGCTTGGTGGGCTTTCGATGCGTTTGCACCGTTGTTTTTGCAAAAGCCCAAAGCGACACATGTCAACCACCACAGATCTGACCCTCGGGTCCTGCAGAAAACAAATCATAGCATCGAGCTTCCAAGCTGCTGATGACAAAGAATTTTCCATGAGAAAATGACGACCACCAGCTAACTGCAACATTGCTATACTTCAATTGCAAATTCCACCAAATCCAAAGCTTCGTCTCTCAGCCGTTGGATATCAACTTTATCGTTCAGGTTGAGCAGCAAGGAAAGGCAAGGATCACAGCATAGGACTGGTTCTGCTTGATCCAACGAATGGCTTTGGCTCGGGCTGCTGCATCACGGAAGTCCCGTCCTGTGGTAAAAGTCAAACTCTTGGACGCCCGAAGTCCACAACGTTGAGCCTCCGCAGCAATGGGTTCAGTAGCAGTAAACTTCCACAACAAAAGGAGGTTGGGCAGCAGAAAACTCCATGTCCTGAATGCACTTGAAACTGAGCCACAAAAGTTTCATTCATGCCGTCTTGCCTCTTTGTTCCACTGCTCCATCATGACTGAGAAAACCTCACGCCTATCCTTGGACACTGCTTCACGGTCTCGGCAATGGCGATCCCACGCTCCAGGCTTTGGTCTCTTGCTCCAGTTGATGCATAGCTTGAAATCTCTAGGTCTGATCCCTTCTGATCTGGTCCAGCTTTTCGCCTGACAAGTTCTCTCCAGTCCAGGGGGGCCCAATGACACTCCAGGCGTTCCCGCTCCAACTCCAGATTGTGCTCGCCGTTGATGCGGTATTCCCACTCGGACTGAATCTCCTTTTATTTGTCTGAAAAAACACTTGCATTCTCTCGCCACAGCTCACTGGAGCTCTTCCGTCAGAAGAGGAATTGGAATCGCCTTGGTTGCAGGTGCCTTGCCTTGAGCATGGACGGCGCAGACTTCGAAGCGGCGGCTTCCACCACCAACTGACCAGCTTTGGAACGGGCCACAGCTGCTCCGCCCATCATCAGGGCAACAGCAGGAGTTAACTTCTTTTCAAAGCTTGGCCGTTGCACGAGCCAAAGGAAAAGCCCTTGGACGTGCCACATGGCCCGCTGTTGGGCTTTCAGCAGCATTCTGCGCCATCTTGCGGCACATCGGTTGCTTCGAATTTCGTCGGCGTTCTGCATGGCCAACTTGCAAACTGCTAGATGTTGAGCTTTAAGCCAATGAGCAGAAAAAACACGGGGCCACATTCTCACAATGACGAACATCACGTGCTCCAGGTTGATGTCCAGCGAATCAACTTGCATGCACAGACTGCTCAGTCAAGTGATGCTCATGGTCTGAATGTTTGCATGCACCAACTCTCATCTTATGTCGCTCCCATGACTTACTATCCATAGGAAGCTCAACCACAGCATCCTGACCGACTCTGCGCCACTGGGTCTGAGGAGGCGCACCCCGGGCATCTCGTCGGGCAGGAAGCATGTCCAGCATGAAATGACCTGCAACCATTTGTCGGAGACGCAAAATGCCAGAAGGAAAAAGTGAACAGGTCATGGTTCTGCGTGTGAAGCCCAAAATAGATCCAACTGCCTCAAAAAAAACGACCTGTCAAACATCCCAAAGTTCCAATTGGCACCAAAGAAATCCAAATGCAAATGAGGGCGCTGCCAATGAGTGCAGGAAGACGCCTCCATCACCAGAATCACCAGGGCTGAACACGAAACATTTTGCACTTGCGCTTGCTCAAGGTTCAACGTCTCGCGCCCACAAGAAGTCATGAGGACATCATGCTCAACCGGCATCTCCTTCACATGCAAGTTATATTCATGGCCAATCAACCCACCAGCTTCAGTCACGGCAGCTGAATGTTCGGCCTCAGCAATACGAATTTGCTTTGCTGGTTTCTCCAAAGCAGCAGCAGCAGCACCACCACCACCTTTGCGGCCAGCACCAGCTCCAGGACTGGGGCACTGGCTGCCACCTGCCCAGTGGGAATCTGCGAGGATTTCTTGCCACCACCTTTGCCTCCATCTCCCAACTTGCCATATAGCCTCTGTCCTCGCGCACAATTACCAAAGCCTGACGTGCTTCACGCATGGTCACAAGGGCACCCGCAGCAGCTTCAATACCATGTTCAAGGTCTTGCAAAATGCTAGCATCAACACCTTCTTGCTCAGCTTGCTCCGCTTGCAGGACCTCTTCCAACTGCCCAATTCCCTCCACATACTCCTCATCATTCTGCCCCTCCGCAAGCTCAGCCTCATCTCCTTCATCTACAGCTTCAGTCACATTGGCCGGTCGGGCCACGCCTGAACCAGGACGATATGAAGAACTCCTGGAAGACATTGGCGCAGCTGAAGTTCTGTATGAGAATGGGGCCGCAGAAGACGCAGAAGAGAAAGGTCTATTCTGAAACAACCCCTTGATGGTGAGCCTCGGCTGGTCAAACTTGCGCTGCAAGGGATCATTGTCATGCAGATCCCTGAACAAACGAAAATCTCTCTCTCAGTCAGGTTGTAACCCTCACTTCCAGCCTATATGGAATTTTCAACAACTGACATCAAATCAAATCCAATCCAAATTTCTGTTTCAGCCATCAACCCAATTCATTGCCGTGGACAACTACACCTTCAGCACGCAGATCGGTCACCAAGGATCGAAACCTAGTAGCAAATTCAAACACACGCCCATTGCGAGATCTCACAAGGTCTACGTAGAACATCTGACGCAGTTCTCCACGTTTATCCAAAGCGGTCCTACCATTCATCTGCTCCCAGGCGTCCATCAACTTCTCAATGCCAGCCAGACAGTTCGCCGGAGACACTTCTATGTCATCACTAGTCACCACTAGTCTCAGGATCCTTCAGGACTTCAGCAGGACAATGCACCAACTCGTCAGGAGTGAATTCTTCACCACGCTGCCGCGCGATGCCCTCTTGACGGAAGAGGAAACGCGCAGCCAGGTTGTATTTTCCAGTGCTGGATAAGTCTAAGGAACTAATCCACCAAGAAACGTCCCTTTTAAACTTTCTCCATGACTGGCGACTTCCATCGCATTGGGGAACATGACTCCAAGGTCCAAATCCCTTTCCAGAATCATCCGTCATAGCTTGGCTAGTTTCCAAACGATCCAAGAAGAAAGTCTTGCTCAAACAAAATCAAGCTTTCTCAAATTCGACCCTTAAAGGTCCTTGCAGTTGTGGCACAACTCCAACCAGCAGCGCGGTCCAGAATGCCGCGTAGCAAATGAGAAGCACAAAGTCCAGCTGGTGCTTCAGAAAGATCGGAAAAGGCACCAAGTTCGCCAGCTCCGCCTAACCACTGCCAAAGGCTCTCACAATCGGACAACGTCTGGCAAACGTAGTCCTCCGCACAGCGCCTTTTGGATACGTAGCGCAAATGGCTAAAGGCCTAAAGGTAAAGATACCTGGGGACATGGCATGAGCCAACAGATAACGGTGCATACCGTATATGATACTAAGTGGCATCGATGCAAGGACGGCAAATTCACAAGTGCGCGGCGCAGCAATTCAATTTTTGTGGGCCTCTCTAGTGCTATCTCGGTCATGCCCACCATGTAAATGCATGCCAACGTGCAAATGTGTGCAAATGGTCACATCGCTTTTTCCCAGCAAGACAACAGGTTCGACATTCTGGCACCCCATGGCACCCCTGCCCTGGATTCTTGGAAACTAGCGTCCACGAAGGAAGACCACGAAATAACAGGCTGTAATGAAACTGATTTGCGAGGTTTCCCTTTGGCCATGGTCTTCTGCGAGATCCTCTTCAACTCAATCACGACCTGACAATCTAAGGGAATAAAATGGAATAAATATCTATTAGAATCTAAATTGTGGAACCTTTGGCAAGATAGGCAAAGCGCAAGCGATCTCTCAAGCATTCTCAAGTAACTGGCGCCTCATCCAGGTCTTCCTTGGCAACGCTGACAGGTCAATTTGCTGATTGATTCAGGCTCATTTATATACAACTGCCTGCTGCCCATCATGGCGAAATTGTGGCAAGGGGCAGGCGCTAGCCGCGACTCAAATTTAGTGGATTGTCTTTTCGAAGACTTTGCATTCAAAACCCCAGCATTGCGCATAGCAAGACCCAAATCCTCAGTGGCAGCAGCAAAATTTGCACAGTGCAGCAGTGCAGAAATGGATCGAAATGGTTTGCGAAAACTGCACTGACATGCACTATCATGCACTGACGATGCAAGGGTCTGCTGGCATTACAACTTTGGCAGCCCCATCTTTCACATCAAATAGTCTTTCCAACCTGCGGCTTGGCCATTAGGGCCGTTGATGGTGAGATTCCGTCTGGAGGTCTGATTTCTGTATGACCATGGAATCTTCAGGACAGAATTATCAGAATGAATGATGAAATCATATGAAATAATATGACATTTTAATATGATTTTTTATCTTTCGACGATCGCCAACCTCTCAACGATTCTGGCCCGTGTGGTTGTGCTGGCACGGCGCATGGTCCTTATTTGGCACTTAATTAACTTTGAATCAGGTTACCTTTGCACTTTCCAGCTGGCAAACCTGTGCGTTGCAAGCCATTCTGCATACGACAATCCCAGGCGGGGTCTTCGCCTATCAGTACAAGACTGGCATTCTCAACAACACTCACAATGTCCGGCAAAAGCTGGCCAAAATGGCAATGATGATGAACAGTATTACGTGGTCAGGAAATTCATGCCGCGCAAGGCCTTCTCAACGTGAATTTCGCTCTCGAGAAAACCACCGCAGTCAAGCGTCCACTGCCTTGGAAAAAATGAAAAGATTGCGATCTGAGGCAATCTGATTCATGGTTCTTCCCTCCCTCGGGGTGGGTTACGGACGTGGAACCAGGGCGAACGGCATTTGAGAACTATCAACGCTGATCAGATCATGGTTCCATCTTTGGCCTTCTTTGGTAAATCCATCCATGTAAAGGTCAGAAAGGATAAAAAAGGGTCGACGGGTACTGTAAGGTGACAAACAGTCCGGTGTTCTGGGTCCTTTTAGCATTTCTTGGGGCCTGCTGCCAACACATGCCATGTCTATCTTCCGTGACATCTATCATCCTGGTTCATCTTGAAAGCGAAGCACGAAAGGAGGTACAAGGATTCCTGCACGTCGTTTGTGTATGTGTGTGTGTGTGATTGTGCGTGCACGCGCGAATGTGTAATATAAAGTTAAGTAAACTGACCTTTCGCTCTTGGGCGAACTGCCCCAAAGACACGAATGCCAATACATCGGTTATGAGCACCGATCTCCCAACACGCCATCGGCTTTTGAGAACATGAGAAAATACAAGAGAGATCAAGTTGAGATCAAGAGAGCCAGCAACTCTTGGGATTTTTGCAGGCCAGCTGCTGTCGCTCGGAATTGAGCTGCATCATTCCGCTAGCAATGTGAATTGCTGAACCAGCGGTTTGGACATCGAATGGGATGCTCTTGTCAAGCATGGACCGCGGCACGTGCAGGAGCCTGGGAGATGAACGTCAAAGTCTTAAGAGTGGCATCGGATGCCAAAAGAAAGTCTCTCTCATTGTATGCAAAAACGGTATAAAACCCAAAATGAAACAAAATGATCCAAAAGCTCCATGTCAAAGAGGAACCCTATCAAACATTGGATTTTAGGGTTATATAATGTTATATAACTTATATTATATAACTATATTTCTAGACATACCCATCTTGCGACCAAGTGACACTTCACCGCCTGTGTTATCCCATGCCTAAGCTCAACGGCTTAGTTTCCCACATCGTAGTCTGTCATGTCTATCCAACTGGTGAACAGGGCAGCCAGCCGTACAAACAAGATGCCGTGGCCCAAGTTTCGTCGCTGCTGATCTGATTAGGTAATTCAGCCTCCTGGGGTCCGTCCTGCACATTGCAACACTCTGTTCGGGAAGTGAGCTGGAGATGTGTAGAGATGTGTAGAGATGTGTAGTGTAGAGCATTGGGCCTGCCGAAGCGCAGCCGCGGTCGGAATATCTCCAGTCATCTCACCGCACTTCACCGTGACCACCATTTGCCCCTTGGCGGTGTCCACTTCGCCTGCGGCAGTGGCTTGCAAACGGCGGTTACAGCCCTTGCAACATCTTGCGACATTGTGCGACTGTATTATTGTCGTATTTCTCTCTCTCTCTCTCACGCTGTAGCGAGAAGATGCGAGAAGCACCGCGAAAAGTTGCAGTCCTGGTAAGGCTGAACCAGGTAACTGAAGAGTGTAGGCAATGGCCCTGACCTGACTTGCAGCTCTTGCAAAGTCAGACCGGCACAAAATGTTCAAGGAGAGGGGTGCTACGAAACATGGGAAATGTCACGCTTGGACAAGGGACTACTTCCACCTGGTCCGATGTTTGACTCAGCCGAACAGGTTCACCTTCCGGATTCGAGGGCTTGAAAGTCTCCTGAACAGGAACTGCTATCCTACCAGCCAACCGTTGCAAAACTTCAGCCACTGAAGTTCAAAATCCAACAGTTCTGGCAGTGTTTGAAGTTCAAAGAACCGAAGTCAAAAATAGTAATCAGATGTAATTAGCAGTTCTGGCAGAGGTTCCAGCGGTTCCAGTGGTTCTGGTGCAAGTCGAGCTCTTGGTCGAGCTCTTGCGGGAGAGCTTGGTCTGGAAGCACTCGCTGGTTCCACCTCTGCCTGCCGGTCAATCACAGGCCAACAACTGACATGCTATGCCGAAACAATTCCAACATATTCAAACAGCATCAAACAGCCACCATCCAAGCACGGGCCCTTACAAGACAAGCATGTTGTAGATTTCAGAAGCAGCCTCACAGCAACGCCCTTGGCCTCGGCCTTGGCATGATGCCCTTCTGGCAAGCACTCTATAGTGACAGTCGGGGGCCCAGGCAGCATTTCCAGATTAGCTTCCTGGCAAAGACCATCACCACAAGCAGCTCTTTTAGTAGCAAAAGCAAGAGCAGACAGTCACTGCCAAGAGCAAAACAATCACTGCCTGTCGCAGGGGATGCTCGGTGGAAGGCTCCTTCGCATGTGCCAAGTACTGGTACGAGTGGCCGTCAACCTTACAAATAATTGAATATATCTGAAATGTTTGACTATCTTTAACTGAAAAATGTTTAACTTGAACATCTACCGGATTAGATTACGTATATATATATAGTCTATATAGTGGGTTCAATTCTGCCTCATTGTGTGTCCTCTAGGAATGGTGCGGCCTCATCGCTGGTCTCAAGCTCAGGAAGCTCGCGTTCCTGCGTTCAGCAGACTTTGACACCCAGTGCCCAAAAGGCCAAAAGGGCAGGACTACCATGGACTCCCCTTCCCCCGCACCGAGATTCAACGACCGAGCAAGTCATCTGAGAGTCATCTGTTCCTACCGCTTGCAAGACCTACGGGTACAGCCAAGATGCCTCCCGCTCATGTCCAGCCATGTCCAAGGAGATGATTTGCTCTTGCAATTCTATCTTCTGCTGCTTCAGGAGTTGCACTTCCCGATCCTGAATGGAATAGGGCCGGGGATGCCTTCTTTCATGTGCACCACAGCTGCAGAAAAATACCAGTACAAACTCATATGACTCATCTGCAAACATGGGCAACGAATGGCAACGAATGAGTGTCAGGCAAAAAACGTCCACAAAGCCTGAGCAACGGATTCACTTCAGGCAGGGGGCATGCTCTGCCAGCAGTTCTGTCATCAGCTGCTGAAAGCGTGAGGGTGTTCCCGGTGAAATTGCAGCCAAATCAGCCATGGCTGCCATCAGGTCAAAAGTGGGCATGCGACACGTGGTCATCTGATGTCATCTGTCTCAAGTTTTGATCTTATCTAACCTGATGCCACGTGATTCTCAGGATATGAGCGCATGTGCTGTTTCCAATCGTGCATCTACCAAGGGTGAAACATTTTTGTTGGTAACCTGTTGTCCTTAGCCATTTCCACATAGTCACTTTCGAAAGGTGGCGTGTTCCAAAAAAAAACTGGGCAGGTCATTCTGATGCTTTATTGTTCAATGCTGGCGCAGGTACCGTTACACTAGTGTTGTCAATATATTGAAAGAATGCAGCAATGCAGCAGTGAAGAATTGCCTTGAACGAGGCCGGGCATGAAGAATTCCCGCTTGCATGGTGAGAGAATGACTTGCATCGGAAAGGCTAAAGTGATTCCACTATATAGTAGGTCTATATGCAAGTCCAGCTTTCTTTAAATCTTCCAACATATAGTGAGCCCACCAAATCTCAACAAAGGTGCCACCTTGGCCACATTGCCTGCTTCCATGCATGAGACAAGCAGGACGCCTACGGCCTACAGGTTTGTTGCCCCCCATCAGGCCATGCGTCGGGATATCGTGCGCTGAAAAGCAGCCGAGGAAGCCCTCCGCTCTGCCAGGGAACCCACCATCATATACCATCATCACATCCACCCACCTTTGCGATACAGATCGCGCAGAGCATTCCCCCATGCTGCAAACTCCAATGGCCAAAAATCGGCTCCCCTCCTCATCAAATCAGGATGATTTCCTCAAAGAAACAACAGAAAAGTGTTTGTTTCACCTTGCACGGTTGCAGACTTTATTAGTTTTATCTGGAGCTCAGGGGTCCATTTTTGTCCACCTTCGCTATAAAAATCTGCCAGGTGAAACGGCATTCTCCGAAGCTGCGATTGCCTTCGGCATCGCTATCTTGGATGCTGCTCGGGTGGCCACGACTTTGACCTTCACCGGGCGGTCTGCGCGACTCTTTCTGCGCTGGTTGGTTGCAGTTTTTTTAAGATCCTTACAGGGCAGTCATACAGTTTTAGACAAGTTTCAGATTCAAAAGACTGGTGAAGTATGGTGAGGCATTGTGACGTATGGTGATGTGGCATTCCTACCCAGAAACAGATGGTTTGTAGACATATGGGACATATGAGGACAATCTGCGTGCAAGCTTCAATGCAAATCGACATAGCTAAATGCAGCAAAGCGTCTCCAATCTGTTTCCTCAGTTTGGACATGTTCGAAAGGTGTCGGCCATCTTGCAATTGGCTGGGGTTACAATACCTGGCCTCTGCACAATGTGGAATTTGTGGCCTGGCTCCACTCCAAACCAATAAGTCAGGGTTCTGCATGTGATCCAGACTCATTTGCGCGATGACCATATCAACTTTGTGAAGGTCTCCTCGCAGTCTCATCAGACCAGACCTAGGCTCCAGCAACCCACAGCCGCCAATGACACGAGCACCAGTGATCTGTCACAGGTGAGGACTGAGGCCCTGGCACCAGCTCTGACAAAGATACGGTTCCATCTTGCTCCTTGGCTAAGGTTGTCCAGATCCCTTTGTAAACTGAAGTCCAGTAGGGGTGGCTAGGTGATGCCTGGGGAGCCCCAACATCAGGAGTCTGTACCTGGGGCTACCACTCTTGAGCGACACTAGGAAATTGCCATCAGGTTTGGTGGTTCTAAGCAGACGGAAACTGGAAATGCAAAAACACATGTTGATAGTTTTTTTTGTATATAGTTTCTTTTGTTTGGTAGCGTTTCAATTTTTTTGGGACTTATATATAGATGTTGTTTTTTGCATTAGCGACGCATCAATTTTGCAATGAACCGCCCATTGTGGTTTTTTAAATGTGTTTTATATAATTGAACGTGTTTTTGTTTTTTAGTGAAAACTTACCACCTGTGTAATGGTTCAACAACACTTTTGAAACTGCAGAAAGTGGTTTTCCAAAAATCACAATGAACATTTTGAACCTGCAAAAGAAAAGGTTTTCACCACAATAACGAATCTTTTGAACCTGGGCAACCGTAGTTTCAACCACTGCAATGAACCTGTGGTGCTGCAAACCAATAGTCTTGACCACAACAACTTGGTGCATTGGCCTGATGGACTAGTGATCCGTATGAGACCATGTTTATTTTCAAAATTTCGGAATGCACATGTTCACCATAGGTTTTTCCAAAACAAGTGTTGGATCATTAGCCATGGATATGTTGTACCAGAAAGACACATTGGCTGTTCATATTGCTAGTGCGGGCGAATGATGCAAGATCAGGTTGGGAATGTTGCTTTCTGACTGGATCTGAGAATGGCATGTGATGCCAGCAAATTTTCTGTTATCATGTCAACCAACTAACCAACACATGATCAAAACGATCAGGACCACCAAAGACCCGAAGATGTCTGCTGACGGATGAGTTGTGACCAATATCTGAAATCATTTCACACTACACCAAATACAAATTTAATACAAATACCACAACAAAACAATCATAGGTCAGCAATAATTGTTTTCGATATGACTTCCCACTTAGCCGTTTGACCATATAATCCATGGCTTCCGTATAGGTTCCATGAGTTTGATTCATGTGTATGATTAGCTGTGTGTATTGTTTAACCATGCATGATCAAATAAATTTTCACGTGCACAGAGACACGAGGGCACACTCATTTACGTCGATATTTTTCAAGGAAAACAAAACTAGATGTAAACATTTAAACATTTATACAAATATAAATTTAAATATATTCATTTTTGTATTTACATATATGTTTGATCTACCCCCGGGGCAGTAACAGTGAGCACAAGCCAGGGGCACAAAATGAGCACCAGCCAAATGCAGAAAATAAGGGTCTAATCTGGTGATATGATACGGATAAATTCTTATACCAAAACCAAACAATGGATCAGGTAGACACCATGAATATGTAAATCATCAAATGGTTGAAAAAATGTTTCATGTGAATCGGAAGGAATCAAGCTGCACAGGTGTATGTTTCTCTCTTCTCGGCTCTGGTTGCTACAGATTTGCTAGGAACTGGCCAACTTATCACCAACATTCCGTTGGAAACCTTAGCAATTCTTAGTAACTACGACAGCTTAGCAATGTGACAACTAGCAACAATAACAACAACCGCCCCCCACCAGCGAGAGCACCACCACGACCACTACAACCAGCAGTACCAGCAGCGGCAGCAGCAGCCACCACCACAACAACCACCACCACCAAACGCAAGGGTGGGGGGTTGGGGCTGGGCCTGGGGCTGGGCTTGGCTGGGCTGGGGTGCTGGGGGCTGGTGTGGTTGGGTTGGGCCTGGGGGCGCTGGGGCTGGGGCTGGGCGTGGCGCTGGGGCTGGGGCTGGGGCTGGGGCTGGCGCAGTTGACTTTTTTGGTTTTACTGTTTTCGGTTTTTTGTGCTCGGCTGGTGCTCAAATTGTGCCCGGCTGGTGCTCAAATTGTGCTCGGCTGGTGCTCAAATTGTGCTCAGCTGGTGCTCAAATTGTGCTCGGCTGGTGCTCAAATTGTGCTCGGCTGGTGCTCAAATTGTGCTCAGCTGGTGCTCAAATTGTGCTCGGCTGGTGCTCAAATTGTGCTCCGCTGGTGCTCAAATTGTGCTCGGCTGGTGCTCAAATTGTGCTCGGCTGGTGCTCAAATTGTGCTTGGCTGGTGCTCAAATTGTGCTCGGCTGGTGCTCAAATTGTGCTCCGCTGGTGCTCAAATTGTGCTCCGCTGGTGCTCAAATTGTGCTCGGCTGGTGCTCAAATTGTGCTCGGCTGGTGCTCGAATTGTGCTCGGCTGGTGCTCGAATTGTGCTTTTCTTGTGGTCCCTCAGCTGCTTTGCATTGATTTTTGGTCATTTCTGATTTGCCCAGGTGCCGGTGCTCAAATTGTGCTCGGCTGGTGCTCAAATTGTGCTCGGCTGGTGCTCAAATTGTGCTCGGCTGGTGCTCAAATTGTGCTCGGCTGGTGCTCAAATTGTGCCCGGCTGGTGCTCAAATTGTGCCCGGCTGGTGCTCAAATTGTGCTCGGCTGGTGCTCAAATTGTGCTCGGCTGGTGCTCAAATTGTGCTCGGCTGGTGCTCAAATTGTGCTCCGCTGGTGCTCAAATTGTGCTCCGCTGGTGCTCAAATTGTGCTCCGCTGGTGCTCAAATTGTGCTCGGCTGGTGCTCAAATTGTGCTCGGCTGGTGCTCAAATTGTGCTCGGCTGGTGCTCAAATTGTGCTCGGCTGGTGCGCAAATTGTGCTCGGCTGGTGCTCAAATTGTGCTCGGCTGGTGCTCAAATTGTGCTCGGCTGGTGCTCAAATTGTGCTCGGCTGGTGCTCAAATTGTGCTTTTCTTGTGGTCCCTCTGGTGCTCGTTTTGTCGTCCCTTTGGACCTTTCCTTGCCCGGGCTAGTTTTTTTCATTTTTTTCGCAATTATTTTTGCAGTCTCCTTGTGCTTTTTTTGTGCTTTTTTTGTGCTTTTTTTTGTGCTTTTTTTGGTGCTTTTTTTGGTGCTTTTTTGTGTTTTTTTCTGTGTTTTTTAATTTTTTTTTTGTGTTTTTTTGTGCTCTTTTTGTGTCTAGCTTGTGCTGGTTTTGGCGGTTGGTACTTACGCGTCAATGAAGTTTTGCGATTTAGGGTTCGAATGGGCTCGGGGTTTAGAATTTAAAGTTTAGGATGGATGCCAAGTATATAACATTTCCATTTTCCCACATGGCCAATCTGACTCCATGGTTGAGCACATTACGGTGCATTGTGCCAGTTGCATCAAGCGGCCAAATCCTTTCACAATATGTTCTAGTCACAGTCCTTGCTTCGATGCAGACGCCTTGCTCGCACCTTCTCAGGGTAACACATGAATGTATTGTCTGTAGTCTGCGCTCTTCTTTTCTCAATGTTGGAATGCAACTGATATGCTTGAAAGATCTTGAAAGTGAAGCCCCTGTCTTGAATTCTGAATTCTGTATCAGAGGTTTGGAGGGCAGGTTGACGTTTTTTTTTTTGGCACCTCCTAGCCGAGATTTTTGGAGCAATTTCCTTGTGCTCGTTTTGAAAGGGTAGGTTAAAGGAAAATCATTTATCTGCTGTTACTGGGCGGGGGGTAGATCGAACATATATGTATAGATATAGAAACATTCAGAGTAAATGAATATTACTTATATATGTATACACACACACATAAACTCTATACAAACTTATGCCTCTAAATAGACATACATGCACAATACATTTGTATAGACAAAAACGAACAATAGTTTAAAAAAACTTAGAGAGGCAAATAGATGTACATATATATATATACACACATGTACTGAAAATTAAGTAAATGAATGAACATATTTGTTTTATATGTATACTTATGTACAACTAGACAACATCACCTGGCCCACGCTCATGGCTCCCAAGTCCACTGTGCAGATGGGTGGCACAGTGGCTGATACGTGGCCCTTGCTCTAACTGGTGCTCTGAACAAGCCCCATGTATCATTGAATGATTATGTGTTGTGTTGTGCTTCGCTGTCGTCTGTTCAATAATGCACATTGTGACTGTGACAGCCTGCGTTAGTAAAACGCATTTGATAATAGATGTTCATTCAAACCCCCAGGCTTCCCGACTGTGAACTACCTGAGTATGCGACTGATCTTTCCGGCAAAACAGTTTCCCATCTTGAAGCCAAGACGTTTGGCAATCAGCCCGCTCGCAGCGATAGATCATTTTGCAATGGTCACTTCGAAGCCATGGGTTATATGGCCAAACAGCCAAGGGGGAAGTCACATCGAAAACAAATATTGCTGACATATGATTGTTTTGTTGTGGTTTGGAAGTAAATTTGTATTAAATTTGTATTTGGTGTAGTGTGAAATCATTTTAGATATTGGTCACAGCTCATCCGTCAGCAGACATCTTTGGTCTTTGGTGGTCCGGTGATCGTTTTGATCATGTGTTGGTTAGTTGGTTGACATGATAACAGAAAATTTGCTGGCATCACATGCCATTCTCAGATCCAGTCAGAAAGCAACATTCCTAAGCCTGGGTGTTTCTGCAAGCCGATCTTGCATCGCTTGTCCACAATATTGGGTGTTTCTGCAACATATAACTATAACATAGAAACATGAACAGCCAATGTGTCTTTCTGGTACAACATAGCCATGGCTAATGATCCAAAACACGTTTTTGTTTTAAGAAACCAATGGTGAACAATTGCATTCCGACATTAAGAAAAAGGAAATTGTCTGATACAGATCACTAGTCCATTAGGCCGATGCGCCAAGTTGTTGTGGTTAAAACATGTTAAAACTATGTTTTTGCAGGTTCAAAAAATCATTGTTCTAGTTAAAAACAATCCTGTGCATATTCAAAAGGTTCATTCTTGTGGTGCAAACCTTTTCTTTTGCAGGTTTAAAAGGTTCATGGTTATAATTGAAAGCCACTTTTTGCAGATTAAAAGTGTTGATGAACCATTACACAGTTGGCATGTTATCAATACAAAAAAGAAAACAAGTTCATTGTTCAAACCTGGGCGGTTCATAACAAAATTGGTCTGCCACTAATTGCAAAAAAAAACATCTACAAACCCCAAAAGTAAAAGTTGAAATGCTACTTTAAAAAAATATACACAAGAAAAGGGAAAAAAAACACTATCATCAAGTCAAACTATCAACATGTCTTTTTTTTTCCTGTTTCGGTATGCTTAGAACCAGCAAACCTGATGGCAACATGTAACCTTGTGTGTCCCTAGGGTCGCTCAAAAGTGGCAGCCCAGGTACAAGCTACTGGACCTCACTTTCCCCCTACATTTGGACGAGCTTACTCCTTGGCTATTTGATCTATTATATAAGATCTACAGACTGTCGACCCCTATCAATAGTAGATCTCACAAATGCAACGGGCTTCCACAAATGCATGTGTTTTTAAAAAGTTCCACAGATGGTGTCCGAGGATCTGTGCTGAAAGCTTCGAAGATCCCTGGTCGTGGCTCCACACTCCTTGGGCACCGTTTGTCATTTCCACACTGGAACTCCTCATTCTCATGCATGAGCATTTTCAATGCAGATTCAAAGAGATTCGGGCTCTCATAGCAGGTGAAGGCCGCACTAATCGTCAGCCCCTTGCCTTCAATGAGTGCTTGTTTCTCCCCTGCACAGTTTGCATAGAAAACTGGTTTTGCACCTGCAATGCCTCACGGCAACTAGAAACGCTAGAATGTCCGCAACAGGGCTGTATGCACAAGCGGTCAACCCAGCAGCAGCCAAGGCATGAGTACAACGGAAGACAAACCCAAGAAAAAACGAAATCCGGACATATCGAAACAAAGCTCGACTGCACTCACCGCTGGCCAACAGCACACATAGATTGACCATCGAGAGATCCACCTGAACCCTTCTGGACCATCTGGCCCCAAGACAAAGAGTTGCATGGCATCATACCGTGAGCTGGCTTGCGTGGAACTTAGAACCTTGACTGTGCCTTCGCAGAGTTAGGTCCAACATGCCAAAGGAACCATCAGAGTAGTAAAGCATTCGACCTGCCACTTCTGAGGAAGTATAAAAAAAATGCTCCATAGACGGACGTGGCATTCAGTTCCCTCAGTTTGATCTGGTTGTGCTCCCTTCCCTGTCCTTCCATTGCTTGCCGTCTACATTCATCCACAAAGACCACAAAGAGCAATGCCACTCATACACCAACCAAAGGGATTTACAAGAAAAAACAAGAAAAAATATAAAGAAATCCGTTTCAGACTTGTTCGCGCATGTGGGGCGCAAAAAATGCTGTCTGTTCTGGGATGACCGAAGCATCTCCGCCCAGTGGCACATCCAGGTCATTCAGAATAAGTCTGACCTTTTGGGATAAGCGAAGAATGCATTCAGGATTGGCGTAGCCAAGCTGAGTTGAATGCGTGTCACCTACGGTCTAGATTGTGAACATGCACTGCTAAATTCTCCCAAAATACTCCAAATGTCAGAACATCGTTGAACAGGAGTTTATCGATAATATAATATCTGCTAACCCATGGTAACCGCCTTCAGAGGGCAGTGAGGATGAATACTGGACCCATATCTGTTGCTCAAGTACATATCCAAGCAGCATCAGGCTGTCTGACCAGCTGATTAAACTCCTCCTCACCTCGACAAATTCGGAGCATTCAATATGTTCAAGGTATTTATGGTATTTCAAAGTAAAGGTGACCAAAAACTTTGATACAGTCTGTGATGTCTGTGATGTCTGGGACATCCAAGTCGCTCAAGTAGATCTCGCCGTTCTGAAGGGCACCGGGTGAGGAGCTGTTTGAATTGGAGCTACTGACGGTCAGGGCTCAATAACTTGTGTTGCAGCAAAACCAAAGCATCCCTCATCTCAACCAAACCCAATCCCCCTGTCTGCGAACACCTTCAACATTGCTGCAACATCTCAAACGCTGGCATCCTGTTTTGTAGCAACATTGCCTCAACCCCAAAATCGCTGGCAAAGCAGTCCTGCGCAAAATCCCCACAAAGATGCCCCTGTGCTTTACCAGCGTGAAGATGTGCTAGACAATCTGTAGCTATAAACCATCTGGCATGGCCTGTGCCTATAGAAAACCATTTTCAAAACTACAGAATGCTAAGCAGAGTCCGGAAACAGAGACTATGAAATTGTCCTGTTTGCCTGTACATCCATCAACATGGGAAATCTACAAGTCTCTTTTATAATAGTCAGGCACGGCTTGGCTAGAGTAACCAGCACGATTTCAACATGAACTAAACATCGAAACTCAATTTCCCCCCGGCTGTGCATTCTATAGTGGAAATTCGTTTTGGTTTGTTTCTCGAAACTCCACATTGTGCAAAGTTCCAGTTGCCAAGAGTCCACAAGATGCAAGACGCATCGTTTTTAACATGTTATGTCTGGTGTCCTGCTTCTGAGTTTTTGCACTTGGGTGGATACCGTCATGACGAGCTTGGCAAGCTGTTCTGTCATGTAGTTGGATTCATATGCTTTGGCATATCTCCTTTGAACCTCATTTTCCTTCAAACCGTTCCTTAGCTGGCATGACATTGTCATCCAAGAGCATCAAGCACGATAGCTCGGAACCACTCATTCAAACAACTGCACACGTTGCGTGAAAGTGCCCAGTGTCAGAGTGGCCTCGACAAAAATTGCAGTTATGATATTGAAGAGACCAAAAAGTACCTTGGATTATCAGGCGGCCATAGCTGGCCAAAGTTGTCACAAACGAGATTTCAAGCATCATCGAGTTTCGAATTGTTCTGCAAACCTTTACGCGGAAACGCCTGCCATGTTTGTATTTAAAGACAGGGTGCTACTACCATAGCTGCTGCATAGAATACGTCGAACTGGATACCAAATCCATCGCTAAAGATCATGGTCAGCGACCTGCCACCTCCAGATCTTGGACGACAGAAGTTGGCCCGATGTTTTTCCCCAACAAATACTGCATTTCTCCGTGGTTTCTGTGCCTTTATCGGTTTGACAACGCAATAGCTACCAAACGATAATCCAATTTATCAGCATTGCCCTGGTCTCGCTAACATGTCACCAACACACCAATGCGTTCAAACAATTCGATTGCTTATGAAAATGCACTTCAAGGTCTTCAAGGTTCATACTCCAAACGTTCGTAGTTCAAAGACACAAAAAATTGTGATTCATGTTCTGCTCATTGCCCACCTTCTTAGAAACAAATATACATGCGCTTGTGTATAAACATATGTGCATATATACGTATTAAATATATATATATATAATTATTTATGTATGTATGTATGTATGTATGTATGCATGTATGCATGCGTGCATGTATGCATGTATGTATGTGTGTGTGAGATTGCATACTCCTGCGGTACAGTGAAAAGATACTGGGAAACGCATTACTAATTGCAAAAATAATTGGCAAACCCCCGATATAATCTTCAGGCTGGGGTGATGGTTCTGGTTTGTTTCTCCCTACTTTTTGCACATGTTTCCCACCACCCCCACCCCCATTTTCTCTCCTTATGTTCTGTTCTTCCCAAATTGTCTCCAGATGTGTTCTCCTTTTGTTTCTTCTTTATCTCCCAACAATTTCCCGCCACGTGTTGTCTCCCCACTTTCCTTTCCTCACCAAAAACCAGTGTTATATTGATGATGATATTGTTGTTGCTGCTGCTGTTGTTGCTGTTGTTCAATGTCAAAATGAATTTGGCGTTCTTGTGGTGCGTCACTGAAACTTGATCAGGAAGGAAGGCCAGAAGAATTTCCATTCCTACACGTGTTGACCACGGTCACAAGGTCATTATATAAATAAATCATGTTGCTCCTTGTTCGTTGGCACTTGCTTTTTCTTAGCCACTTCGACCCAAGAATCGTGTGGATAAAAAGTGCCTTCTCAGTCTTGGGAGACATGTCCTTTTTCCCAAGATCAGCTCCACAGCGCTGCTTAAACAATTTGGTCACGCCATCAAGAAGCGCTCTTTTGTTGTTGCTTGCTGATCCACCAGCATCACCCCCCAAGGCGTGAGCAAGTGAACCTTTCAAAACCGGCTTTTGGTTCCTATCCCTTTCACAAAAATGTTGAATAGGATTGATTGGTGGCTCAAACGGCACAACTGACAGGGAAATGCAGGAAAACTGACAAAAACGGCGTACGCATTTGCAAATATGACTGAGCATTGTCTTCATTTTCTTTCGATAGCAGGTTGCAAATCGCCTTTTTCCAACCCATCTGGCTGGACTCACATAGCGTCTGTTCCTTTTCGCACCGCCACCATGGCCCGAGCGAACCAAGCACAGAAGTCCATTGGCGATACCATAGATCTTGCGCGTGGGGTAGGGCCACTACATTGCGCTTGTACGATATTGCAGATTTATCGCCACTGAAGAGGCGCCAGGTCAACACAACCGAAGCAACGCTTGACCACAGGCACTGACCACTCGCACTCAGCCGCCGCTTGAACACACCGCCGCGGCGGTAGCATCGCCAAAAGGAGCAGATGAAGAGACATGATCAGCATTCGCTTCGGCACGACGCAACCTTTAACTGTTTGGGTCATGGGATCCGGGAATGTCAACACCAACCATATCGTAGCTGCTAGGCACCGACCTCCTCACCTCAGGCCTGTGATGACATTGCCATATGACATGTTGCCAGTTACACTTCTCTTTTCGACACCCAGCATTGGGGCACTTAGTGTCGTAGTACTAGTACTAGTACTAGTACTAGTACTAGGACTAGTAGTAGTAGTAGTAGTCGTCGTCGTCGTCGTCGTCGTCGTCGTCGTCGTCGTCGTCGTCATCGTAGTAGTAGTAGTAGTAGTAGTAGTAGTAGGTACTAGTACTAGTACTAGTACTAGTACTAGTACTAGTACTAGTACTACTACTACTACTACTACTACTACTAGTAGTAGTAGTAGTAGCAGTAGTCGTGGTAGTAGTAGTAGTAGTAGCAGTCAGGTAGTAGTAGTACTAGTACTAGTACTAGTACTAGTAGTACTAGTAGTAGTAGTAGTAGTAGTAGTAGTGGTTGTTGTTCTAGTAGTAGTAGTAGTAGTAGTAGCAGTAGCAGTAGTTATGTAGTAGTAGAAGTAGTAGTAGTAGTCATAGTAGTAGTAGTAGTAGTAGTAGCAGTCATAGTAGTAGTAGTAGTAGGAGTAGTAGTAGTAGTAGTCATAGTAGTAGTCATAGTAGTAGTAGTAGTAGTAGTCGTAGTACTCGTTACTAGTAGTAGTTGCTAGTAGTAGTTACTACCAATAGTAATAGTAATAGTAATAGTAGTAGTAGTAGCAACAGTAGTAGTGGTAGTAGTAGTAGTAGTAATAGTAGTAGTAGTAGCAATAGTAGTAGTGGTAGTAGTAGGATTACTAGTAGTAGTAGCAGTAGTAGTAGTAGTAGTGGTAGTGGTAGTAGTAGTAGAAGTAGTAGTAATAGAAGTAGAAGTAGTAGTAATAGAAGTAGAAGTAGTAGTAGTAGTGGTAGTAGTAGTAGTACTACTAGTAGTAGTAGTAGCAGTAGTACTAGTAGTAGTAGTAGTAGTAGTAATAGTAGTAGTAGCAACAGTAATAGTGGTAGTAGTAGGATTAGTAGTAGTAGTAGTAGGAGTAGGAGTAGGAGTAGCAGTAGTAAGAGTTACTAGCAGTAGTAGTAGTTACTAGCAGTAGCAGTAGCAGTAGCATTAGCAGTAGCAGTAGGAGTAGTAGTAGCAGTAGAAGTAGTAGTAGTAGTAGTAGTGGTAGTAGTAGTAGTAGAAGTAGTAGTAATAGTAATAGTAATAGTAGTAGTAGTAGTAACAGTAGTAGTAGTATGGTGGGGGAGGAAGGGGGAGGAAGAGGAGGAGGAAAAAGGATGGGAAGGAAAAGGGAGGGGGTGGCCCAGCTGGAAGCCAAATTCCCACAGGCACCAAGTCCCGTCATGATTCCGAGGTATTGCGATACCTCATTTTACACCGGAAGGCCGGCTCCAACTCAATGCGCGCCACAAAGCGTACAGACGGCACTCACAAGTCAGTGAGGCTGTGCCCGTTCACGCTGTTGGGACTAATTTCTTACTTTGAATTCGAACTTTAGAATGTTGAAATAGCTGTCGCCTGCGTAGTACCTAAGAATCCACCCTGACAGTAAAATCTGAATCAAGCGAAAATTAAATGAACGACCTGGTCTACTACCTGAAACAGCCTGATGGGAACAGCTTGTCTAGTTTTGCAGGTACACATCAGGACGTCTCCCAATGCATCACCAGAGAATGTGGGCGTCTTCGTTGGCAGTGATCCCACAGACTCTGTCACTGATTTAATGTTTGGTGATTCTTTCCCGCATGACAGCTAGTGGGTTTCACACAGCTTCTCAGTGTGTATTAAATAATTTTGGAAGCTCGCAAAGGGTACCCTCCCCCCCCCCGGTGTGGTGTCCCCCTCCCAATGAAAAGTGGGCGCCTTCAATATAAAAACCACCTCAACCCTATGTCTTGTTTGTTTCTCTCCCCTTTTCCTTTCTCTTCTCCGTTTCCTTTTCCTTTCCATCTTTGATGTGAAATTAATTTTATAATTCGGGGTAGTTACCCGGTAGTTCGGAAGATGCCCGAAAATGGAGACTTCTTGCAGCTATTGTGAGCACCCTTGGAATACACCAACCATGAAAGGGGAGAAAATAAGGGGAGAACATAATATACAAGGGAAAGAAAGTAAAGAGAAGAGACCATATAAGCAGAACCATCACACCAGCCTAAACATGTAGAATTACTCGGCGTGGCACCCAGAGCCATTTTTCAACATTCACTATCGGCCCATGCATATATTTGTTTTTTATTTATTTACTTCTCTATATTTCAAAACAATATAAATATAAACATACATACATATACATATCTCTTGGAGACCCTGGCCAGGCAATACATATGTATTTGCCTAGAAAAGCCTGCGGATGCCTGCAGAACAAGCGCAAAATTTACACAGGCCATCACTGCAAGCTTCCCTGGGATTTTTATAGAAAATTGTGTGGTAGGGCTCATTTGGTTTTCCACGTATCTTGTTCAACATAGGGAGCATCCTTATTTAGCTTCTTGCAGTAGGCTCACAGGGGCAGCGGAGACTTCACAATCCAGTTCCCATGAAAAGATCATTGATGATCATTGGGTACTGAAGAGGGGGGTGACTTGAGAAGGCGAACCAGAATTGGAAAATATAAGCACAACCAGGTGACGCAAGAATCAGCCCGATGGAACCAGAATGTGCAGACAAACATGTTTGCAATACTATGTTATCTCTATATCTAAATTTGACGGGTCCGAATCGTGACCTCCTGTGGGTCCTAGGACGTCCTAGGTGTGTATGACATAGAATTATTTGTCGTTCTGTGTGCAATGTGTTACAATGTGTGACAATGTGCGGCAACATGTTGCAGTCGGCAATGTACGGCATGGTCCAGCCAAACCAGGTTTCACAAACACAAGGCAGAATCATCATGAGTTCGCGCATCTAGTGGATTTGCCAAATTGGAATCTATTGGAACAATCAGCTATATAATCAGCTGGAGCAATCAATACAAAGGAGCTCGAACCCCCCCGGCCCATTGCCTTTGGACGTGCACTCGCTGATCATGCATCGGAAGATAGAGAACATGCAACCAAAGACGGAGCCGCAAAACTCCACGCCATACATGTAGTGCAGTTTGCCTTGGTTGAATCGCTTTTGCAGCTTGAACCAGCCCTTGAAGTCATCAAGAATCTAAAATAGCTGAAGAAAACGAGAACAATGAGAACATGCATCATGCTTTGGGTGAGCAGCAACCGGGTGGGAGAGGCGGGTCCGTCATGCCCGTCATGCCCGTCATGCCATCATCGTCGCCGTCCAAGTCCGGGAGCTTGAACTCATAATAGTCTCCATAGCCACATCTGTCCGTAGTTGATTGCGAGACTGTTTGGACACCAGCCCGGAAACCAAGAGCAATAACCTCAGGGTATCACACTGGAGGCCGGGCGATAAAAGTTATGCACGCCTGCTTCGACATTCAACAGCATCAGTGCGAGTAGTGTTACAAGGCTTGGCTTTGGCAACGGCTGAGGCAGCAGCATAAACAATGAGCCACAAAAAGATCATCACCCAGAAAAGTGATCGAACCTCACAGTCACAGGGCACATATGGCGTATCAGCTTGCAGCTTTGCCATCCTTGCTGAGGACCAGGCACTGATGACAAAGCCTCACACGGGCTCAAATATGAAGCAATGCATCGCACGCAAAGGCTCAAATATGAAGCAATGCATCGCACGCAAAGGAGTGCGTAAGATTCCGATGTGGTTTGTCGATACTCATATTGACACATACTCATAATACTCTGAAGTGATGCAATGATACATCACAGAGTCACATGCTCTCTCTCTCTCTCTCCCTTCTGTGTGACATGCTTTCTCCAAGTTCAGACTTGTTGTTCAGACCGGCTCATGCGCCCATGCGCTGATGCGGCTGAAGGGCCCGAGATGAGATTTGCTAACTCCTCGAGCAACGGCATTCGCATCAGTTTCGCCAGGCGAGCCATTCGGGCGAGCCGGAGCCCACGAAGCGCCAGGGCCGCCCGCCTGGAAACACCGTGCAACACGGTGCTGTACCGGTCTCGGGTGCTCATGGATGTTCATAGACGCTCATAGATTCCAAAGATGTGTTGGATTATTTCGGTCCAAGCAATCGGTTTCAAACATGCCTCATGGTTCTCGGTGCTCTTGCCATGTTTTGCCAAAATTTGCCAAGATTCGTTTGGGCACCAGCACTGACAAACAAGACGCTTAGGATGATTTCAGTCACCGCCACCTAACGTAGTCGCAAAAACCAACAAAACTGTTCGGATCGAACCACATCCGCTGTGAAAGAACACAAAGCCAAGTCACGAAAGAGAGGCCCACATCGAACAAATTCCAGACGCAGTCACGCCCAAAAAAATATTCAGACGGTGTAAGCACCTGACAACTCAGAGGCACGTATTGCATGAACAATGCGTCTCACAGCAGGGATGCGTTTGGCTATCAATGACGCCTTCTCACAAATCACGGGAAATAATGCAAACAGCAGGTTTCAGAAAATTTCAGACATGTTTGGATGTGCTTCTGCGATCTCCTGAGCCTTCCTCAGAGGCATTTGTAATCCTACAAGTGGAATGAGTGTTGAAACTTAATGACATGCTGCATCGTCAATCTTATCCCCAGTAACGGAATCTTGACCAGCAGGACCATGTCTACTCACGATATTGTAGTTGTTTTTGAACATGTTGAAATGCCACACCATCTTGTTAAACCATGACACTGATAGTGTCTTAGCCACGACTCGAAACGTGTCTTGACCACGACTACCATCAATTGTGGTCAAGTACCACTTGCCATGGTTTTCGGTGCTCAGTCAAGGCGCCAAAGATTTCACGACCACCTCCGCAACAAAAATAATCGCACAAATGCCATCCAGAATGATCCACCCTGGCCAATCTGGATCAGTGTCCAGGGAAATGCCCATGAAAGCGAAACCTCGGTTTGAAACTTCAACTGGGGTGTATGGGGAAGTGGGCTTCAGCAGGTCCAGAATGGCGAGAGTGTGGGAAGTGTGGCCTGCCTCAGTCTGGCATGTTGAGGACAAGAAACTGACAATGATGGCTGCTGTAGACAGCGCTGTAACAATGCTGACCCACCGCTGGGAGGTCGAAACAGGTTTCTTGGCCTTTTCATAGGCCATGAGTAGCGCCTGTGAAGTGCCTGTGGCCGGCATCTCATCTCCCAAGAGTTCTCGCTGAACTATGAAAAGGTGCAAAGCCTTAGCTGTGAAATCAATCACTGTGGGACCTCAATCTTCATTGTAAACTACCAGTAGTAACGCACAAGGCGGGGGCGGAAGTTTCAGAAATAGGAAACCTATAGGAGAGGTTGGTTGTTGTGAATCACGGATGGCAGAGCGAAGCCACTGATGGACCGAAAGGTGGTTGAGGTTTCCTCTCTTTCTCTCTCTTTCCCTCTCTTTCTCTGACTTAATCTATCTATCTATCTATCTACGTAATCTAATCTAATCTTATCTTAATCTAATCTAACCTAATCTAATCTAACCTAATCTAATCTAATCTAATCTAGTCTAATCTAATCTAATCTAAATCTAATCTAATCTATCTATCTAATCTATCTATCTATCTACCTACCTATCTATCTATCTCTCTCTCTCTCTATCTATCTGTCTATCTGCAAGCTTGAAGACGAAGCTATTCTGCAAGACTCCCTCAGTTTTTGAACTCGACAACATCAAAAACGCAGCAATTCAGCGAGACTTCCTCAATTTTTGCACCTGACAACGTCAAAAACGAAGCAATTCTGCGAGACTTCCTCATTTGTTAAATTGACAACATCAAAAAACGAAGCAATTCTGCGAGACTTCAGACTTCCTTCAAAAATGAAAAGTTGAGTGCAGAGCTGACGGCCTCATACCAATGCGTTTTGCGATTTTTCCACTCAATGCTGTCTAAAGTACCGCGCATGCCATGAAAAAGTGATGCCAGTCACGCAAAATCATCTTCCCAAAACTGAAGATCTGATGCTCCAAAATGCAACCCTTCTCGGGAAATCAGCGCCCGGACCTCCTAACAGCTCTGATGAACATGTCTCTTGTACTGCGCCTGCCGCGGAAAATGCATCTTTGCAGCTCTTCTTCAAATGTCCCACGCCTACCATCGTTTTTGGAAAAGCTACAAAACCCTCACGTTTTGCTCACTTTTGACAAGGTGCACAATCCCTTGCGCCTGCCACGCGAAACGACATCTGAACGTCTAAAAGTGGTCCGAACCCCTGGTGTTTTCAACATTTTGACTTCGAAATGTGCTTCGCGCCACAACCGCGTGCACTTTTACCACATCTCAACTTCCAAAAGTGGTCCGAACGTAGTGTGCTTTGTACATTTTGACTTCGAAACGTGCTTCGCGCCACAATGGCGTGCACTTTTTCGACATCTCAACTTCCAAAAGTGGTCCGACGCTGGTGTGTTTTGTACATTTTGACTTCGAAATGTGCTTCGCGCCGCAACGGCGTGCACTTTTTCGACATCTGAACCTCCAAAAGTGAACATGATGTGCTTTGTACATTTTGACTTGGAAATGTGCTTCGCGCCGCTACGGCGTGCACTTTTTCAACATCTCAACTTCCAAAAGTGGTCCGAACATGGTGTGCTTTGTACATTTTGACTTAGAAATGTGCTTCGCGCCACAACGGCGTGCACTTTTTCGACATCTCAACTTCCAAAAGTGGTCCGACGCTTGGAAATGTGCTTCACCCCACAACGGCGTGCACTTTTTCGACATCTCAACTTCCAAAAGTGGTCCGAACCTGGTGTGTTTTGTACATTTTGACATGTGCTTCGCGCCACAACGGCGTGCACTTGTTCATCTCTCATCTGGCCAGATGGCTCCGCACCCGCCGCTTTAGCGAGCCTACTTTTCGACCCTCCGGAGCCACAAATCATTGGAAAAACACAGTGTTTTGCGACTTTCCTACCTTTTCGCGCACCTGGATCTTCTTTCTTCTGAGACTGTCTCTTTTTTGGTCTTCTTTCTTCTTCCCTTCTCTTCTCTGACTCTTCCCACCTCTGCTTTTCATGTGTCCATATTGTCGGAAGTTTGACTCCTAAAACTTCCTTCGAACATAATTGCAGGCATTGGCCGCTCCTTCGGCTAACATGGCTGCGTGCCAAGGCAAGGACAGGGCTATGGCGGGGCTGAGGCCATCACGGCATGCCCCGATGAGAACTTTGGCAAGTCTTGCAGCAGCATGCATTCCTTAGCAAACAAATAACCGTCCGAATAAATGGATTTGATGCATCTCGTATTTTTGTTCCACCGCTCCACCCTTATCGAAATGATACAAAAATCAACTCAAAAGTAAAATTAGTAAAACAAAGGGCTACTTGGCTACCAGGATAATTCCTGGGTCCTTGTGTCCTTGTGTCACAAAACAAGGTGGTGCAAAAAAAAAAGTCTAACTAACACCCATCTAGCAAATCTCAACTCACAAGGAGTTTGATATTGGAAACTGTCATCACCGAAACTTCAGACCATCCGCACTCCTTAAAACCACTCAAGTGATTACATTTGGTCCAAATAAGCCGAACTGGATCGATTCTTTGGGAACGGGATACAAAACATTTAATTTAATCTCCTTGCAGACTGGTGTCTACAAAGGAACTCCAGGAAAGGACAGGCTGCGAATGAACTGCTTTACGTATCTTCTCTATAGCTTTCTGGTGGATCCTCTTCAGCTCAATCATGACCTGCAAGTCAGAACATGCAGGTGCTTTTGGAAGCATGAGGGCGCAGATTTGGCAGCTTCCCCATCTGTCCTTACTTCATTGTCATGAGCAGCTGACCTCATCTAGATCTTCCTTAGCAACAGTTGCAGGTGAGACTGCTGATAGCAATAGAACTCGTTGCTGTCTGTCACAACATGCTTATGGCAAGGGGCTGGTGCCAGTCGCGACTCAAATTTTGCGGATTGTCTCTTTGCGGACCTTGTGTTCAGAAGGGTGGCATTGTGCATGGCCAAGCCCAAGTCCTTGGTGGAGGCCAACTAAAGGAACACTTTTCGCGCACGTCCTCTTCCAACATAGAAATGAACAGATATGATTAGAATTGTAAGCAAGATTGTAGGCAAGGGTCTGCTGGCATTACAACTTTGGCTGCCCCATCTTTGACATCAAAGAGTTTCTCCAACCTGTTCCATGACAGCATTGATTGATTGAGATCTATCGCTTGGCCATGGTCTGATAACCCTCGTCTGGCCATGAGCAACAAAAGCAGAAAACTACAGAAGTTTCACCCGACAACCCTCTCAGCCTCTCAATGATTCTGGCCCGCGTGGTGATGCTAGTGCGGCGCATCCTCAGCTGTCACTAGCCGCGCACCAATGTTCCCCAATCCACTTTGTTCTTATGGGGCGAACCCTTTTCCATTGCATGTGCTTCTGCATACAAGAATCCCAGCAGGCGTAGTTGCCTGGCGATCAGCTCAGTCCAAATTGTCAACAAAGTGGGAAATGTATTCAACATATGTTCATGCAAGGCATCTTTCATAAAGCCTTCTCGATGTGAATTTCGCTTTCGAGAAAACCACCGCAGTCAAGTATCCATTGCCTCACCAATACAAGGCGACCAATACGAACACGTCGCCAAATCAGTCATCATTCATCTACAACGGCGTTTCTTGTCATTCATCCCACGTCTTCGTTTAATTGCGGTGCCCTTCTGGCATTAATGTCATGCCCTCCGAAGTCTGCCGACGCTTTGATGGGTTGATCAGTTGGTCATTTCTTCTCCGTCGTATTAATCATTTTTCTGGGTGTGGATGGGTGGGTGGGGGGGGTGGTTCTGGTGGGGGGTCTGGGTGGGTATGCGTTGGCGTCAGTTTTAAAGAAGATTCATCATTTCCAGATCCATGATGGATCCAACATTTCCGATGAATCCATCATTTCCAGATTTATCCAGTTGGATCGGATCCATCATTTCTATTTGATGATTCCCAGATCCGTCCCCTGATCCCATGATCCGACTGCTCCATCTCCGTCCCGCTGGGTGGGGCGGTGGGTGGGTGGGGCGGTGGGTGTGTCGGTGGGTGGGTGTGGCGGTGGGTGGTTGTGGCGGTGGGGTGTAGGTGGGGGTGGGTGGGGTTGGTGGGCTTGGGTCGGGGTGGGTCGGGGTGGGTGAGTGGGGGGGGTGGGGGTGCGGGTGGGCTGGGTTTGGTGGGGGGGTGGGGGGGGGGGGGGGTGGTGTTGATGCTGCCAATGTCGCTTGTATTTCCCAATGCATAATTGTCGAGTACAGGTGCTGTGGTTGATGACGGTTTTGCGCTATCATTGTCATTGTCGTCGTCGTTGTTGTTGCTGCTGCTGTCACTGACTTCCGTCTGTCTCTCCTCCCTCTCTCCCTCCCTCCCTCCCTCCCTCCCTCCCTCTCTCTCTCTCTCTCTCTCTCTCTCTCTCTCTCTCTCTCCCTCTCTCACACATTCCTTTTTATTTGTTTTTTTTTGGTGAGGTCAGAGGAAGTTAAGGATCATCAGGGGGATCAGGAAAATGACGAAGATGATCATGCGCATGATGACTGTGATGACAAAGATAACAATGATGAAGATGATGACAATGTGATGCTGATGATACGGATGATGCTGGATGATGCTCGATGATGACGGTGATGATGGTGGTGATGATGGTGGTGACGATGGTGGTGATGATGGTGGTGATGATGGTGGTGATGATGGTGATGATGATGGTGGTGATGATGGTGGTGATGATGGTGGTGATGGTGGTGATGGTGGTGATGATGGTGATGATGATGATGATGATGATTGTTGAAATCAAGTGTACAACTTCCCTGTCTGTACTCTCAGCAGCTGTAGCCCACGCGCTGTACTTTTCACTGTAGCGCTCGAGTAACGCTAGCTCAAGGGCCCTGTATGGAGCCCAAATGTATCGTACCATGACATGTACTCAAAGTAGACTAACATGTTGTATCAGCAACTGTATAGCTCATGTACATGTGCAGGTGTATTCTTAACACCCTGCCTCAACTGCAACATGTACTTCACAAACATTGAAAGAATCATTGTATAACTGAACTGTATTAAATCATGTATGACATCAGTCATCTGTACAAAACTTTGCCTTCGAAAATCCTGTACATCGATCGAAAACGTAGTGCCGTGTTGATGTACAGACATCTTGTAGCCAGAGTTGTCAGATGGATGTATCCATGCAAAGTTACTCACATGTAGTCAGAAACCGTTGTAAGAAAACTGTAGCAGTATCCAACCATGTACTTCACAAATTCAGCCTTGTAGAGCTCGTCACCATTGTAGATCAGGATGTGCCCAAGGCGGTCTCGGGTGTAGCTCCTGGCAGTGTAGCTGGAGCTGTAGATCCTGAAATCTTGGCTTGTAGCTTGTCCCTTGTATCTTGTGAACCAAGATTTTCATTCTCATCAAAGTTCTCCTTCACGTGTATGGTGAACTGAGCTGTGTACTGCAGCAATCCATGCTGTACATCAGCTGGCATGTATCTGGACAATGCCGTGCCTGCATGATGTAGTGCCATGGTCAGAGCTGCATGTACTGGGTCAGCCGCTGGTCTGCCCAAAACATGTTGTACATCCAAGGGAATGTACTGGTTCCACACATAGCCACGAGTGTAGCTGTACTGCTGTAGGGTCCTCATCCAATCCACAGTGATGCGTAGTACCCTTTGTGAGCCATGTTCTGTAGCGTTAAAAATGTATCGCTGCAAAACTTGTACTGCAAAAAGAACTGAAGTGAAAACCATCATGTAACCCTTGGGGTGAATGATGTAGTGAAGGATGAGGTGATCATGTACGCGCCAAACTGTATCACAATGACCATGTACCCCTTAAGGTAAACATACGTGTACATGATATACTCAATCAAGTAGGCTGCAGATACGTGTACACTTGTTGTGTTCGTATGCTGGTGTGTGAAACTGCTGTAGCTGGATTCTCCTCAATTGTCTGGCGGACGTATGCCCGCAGCATGTAAGTGCCATTGAAGCACTTCTCGTTGCACGTATTTTGTAAGTATGTCTGACGGATTGTGTTTGGTGTTGATTTTGTGTATGGAAAGGATGCCGTCGTGAATGAGGTGTTGTATGAACATGTATTTGAGTTCGATGTGTTTGGCTCGCTTGGACACGCCAATGCGTGTAGCCATGCTTTTGCCTGATGTGCTGTCAGTGTGTATTTTGAGGCTGATCTTGTTGTGTAGGATCTCTCCCAAGAAGTTCTTGAGGTGTAATGCCTCTGTAGCACCTGTACCAATCGCGTAGAACTCGCTTTCTGCTGAAGAAAGTGCTACTACGGATTGTGTACGTGAACCAAAGTGAACTGTAGTCCCAAGGAATTGGATCACGAAGCCAGATGTACTTTTGCGTGTAACCTGGCATCCTGCCCAGTCTGCATCTGTGTAGACTGTCAGGTCGAGCTGTTCCTTGTTGTTGGGCTGTAGAAACACCGTTGGTTGTATCACGAACTTGTGGTGCTTTGTACCTGCTAGGTACCTGAGGCAATGTCGTAGCCGCTGTCTGTCGCGGACTGTTGGTTGTTGTAAAGAACGCGCTAGTTCTTTTACTGCAAAGCTCATGTCTGGTCGTGTGTATGAAAGCCATTGCAGCTTTCCGACCATACGCCTGTAGTGGGCGTGCTCTTCTGTGTCAAGGAGTTCATCCTGTTCTGTTGTAGGTGTAGTGCTGTTGGAACCTGTAGTGACGGCTGCTGTTGCATTTTGTAGGTTTGCTTCTTGTAGGATGTTGTCGATGTAACTGTTTCCCAAAGAGATTTCAAAGTGATCTCCTTTGTTTGTAATCTTCCTTCCAAGGAAGTCAATTGTGTTGTTTGTTGTGCAAGTGCCTGTATGGCGAAGCAACATCTTGGCCTGTATCTCCTTGAAAATTCGAGCGACCTCATCAGGTTCTCCTGTAAAGAGAAGATCGTCAACATAGACCATGATGTAAACTTTGCCATTGGTGTAGACATTGGGCTCTGATTGTAGTCTTTTTAGACCGAGGTCTGTAAGCACTTTTGCTAAGTGCTCCTGCCATGCTTTCGGGCTGCTTCGTAGACCATACATTGCTTTGTGTAGCCTCCAGAGGATGTTTGGATTGGTGTAGTACTCCTTTGGTGGTCTGAGTACCAGGCCTGCTGTTGCTGCGAGTGCGTGTAAGAAAGCGGTAGATATGTCACCTACCTGTACAATCCATCCTCTGGCCATGCTGAGTGCTAGGAGTATCCTTAGCACTGCAAAGAGTGGTGTACTTGCGTACACATCATCTTGGTCTTCGATGTGTTCGGTGTACCCTTTTGCTACGATCCTTGCTCGTACTTCATCTCCTTTGGATCTGTAGACCCATCTTGACTCGATAATGTTGTCGAGATCAAGTTCTTGTCTTTGTTGAGGTGTAAGCTTTGTAACATCTACCTCCTCATACACTCCTTGTGTTCTCATGGGTTCCATCTCCTTTTGCATTCCTTGCTTCAACTTCTCTGTATCGAATCCTTCGTTGTTGTAGATGTGAGGCTCGAGTAGCCTCTGTTCTGCTCGTACCTCCTGTGGATCTTCACTTGTTGCTGTTGTAATCTTCTTGCCGCTCTTCAATGCAACTGTAACTGCATTGATTCTCAATCTTGGTCTTGTACTGTCTCTCTCCTTTGTCTCTTCTGGTCTCGCTGGTGCTTGCTGTGTTGTACTTTGCTTTCTGCTCTTGCTTGCACTTCCTTCATGTACTTGGTCGTCCAGTGATCTGGTTGGTGAACCTGTTGGCATTGGTGATGTTCCCAACCTCATTGCTGTAGAGTGTGTTGACGTTGATGCTGAAGCTGTGCTTTGCTGTTGTTCTTCGACTCTTTGTTTCTTTGTTGTCTCTGTTCTTGCTTTCTTTGCTTCTGTGTCTGCTTCCTTTGTGTCGGTAGCATGCTTTGCTGCTGTTGTTGGTTGATTGCCTGTACTCGTTTCTCCTTGTGGTGTTTGCCCTGCCTGGACTTGTTGCTCTGTTGATGCTGGTGTTGGTGGTAGTATGAAAGCTGGCTGGAATCCAATTGGTGGTGTAGGATTCCATGGTGTGCCAGTGATTGTGTCCATCAATTGAGCATCGTACCTGTTTGTACCTGCTAGTCGTCTGATTGTACGTGAGCGTACAATTCTGCCCGCAATGCCAATGAAGGACTCTCCGGTGGATGTACATTTGCCGAGCCAAATGCCTTTGTAGAACCTGGGTTCAAGCTTTGGTCGTTGTTTGATCGACTGTACCATGTACATCACAGTCTCTCCAAATTCACAGAGAGCTGCATTGTGTGTTCGTCCCATCTTTTGTGGTAGCTGGTGTAGCCATCTGCTCTGATGAGGAATCTGTTGATCAGGTATGCTGAGTGTCGTACTGCCCAAGCCATGATTGGGTGTGTTGTCGGCAGTCTTGTGTTGTAGTTCTGCTGTACCTGTGTCCTGAGTGTCCTAATGTGGCCAGCAAGTGTACGGTGGAATCTTTCGATGCTGCCACTGCTTTGTGAGCTGTATGCTGGTGCAAAACGCACTGTCATGTTGCCTGTTGCTTTAGCTGTAGCTCTAAGGAGCGCCATCAGGTATTCTTCTTGGTCACTTTGTAGTATGCCTTCTGCTCTTCCACATTCAAGAATGAATGCTTGTAGACATGCCTGTGCATAGGCAAACTGTCCTTTCTTGTCCGTAAGCATTGTTGCCATTGCCATGCCGGTCTGTATGTCTATGGCTGTCAGGATTGGTACCGGCCATTTGTCTTCATAGGTCTTGATGTAGGTGAAATCAACTTGTATGACTGGCTGTTTCGATGTTTGCTGTTGGTGGCTTGTCTGTCTGCCGCGAGATTGTATGCACACAGGACACCAACTCCTGTATGGCATGTGTGTAAGGTTGTGCTGTTGTATCTCCTGCGGTGTAGGTTGTACCGGTTGCATCATTGCTTTCGCTTTGTTTGCGCTCTGTTGTTCATCTTCTTCTTCTGTTGGCATTTCTTCTCTATATTCTCTTCTTTCTTCAAAGGTTGTAGATCCTGTCCATTCTTGTTGTCTTGTTGGTTGTGGTTCTGTAGTCCAATCGTCTTCGATTCTTCTCATGTTGTGCTCCTCTCGTATGTGTGTTGCTCTGTATGGGAGCAGTTTGTAGACATCTGGTCCATTGTCTTCAGGTGTCGGTGTGTAGAACTCTGTCCTTGGTCTTACATGTACTCTCTTCCAAAACCTTCCTTCTTTGATCCAGTAGTCTGTTGTACCATCCATCTGCATTGGTGTTGGTAGTGTATTTTCTTTCTCTTGCTGCTTGTACGTGTGTCTGTACTTCACTTCCTTTCCTTCATCCATTCGTTTCTGAACTTGTTGTTCCTTGTTTGTATCCTGTTTCTGTTGGCCTGTTGTTGTCTTGTCAGGAAGAATCCTGAACCATGTTTCTCCTTGCCATTGTGTACCTGTAACCTCTCTGTTTGCTTCCTGTTTAGTGAGTGACTTGAACTTGTCTTCAAGCACTGTCTGCGTACCGTTTTCCTTGTAGACAATTGTTTTCCTGTAGTCGTCCAGTCTGTCAAATTGTACTGGACATGCTGATTGGTTGCCGTATCCTGGTGTGAACAATGCCTTTCTTCCTCTCTTGTGTACCCTGACCAGGTATCCTTGTTCGTTGTACTTCCAGAAGTCGTTGTTGCCTCCTTGCTGAGGTCGTGGTCCTGTTGCTGTAAGTGTGTGTGTTGGGGCAATCATTGCCACTTGTCCTTGTGGAGTGTTTTGTATCACCAGTTTTGTTCCTTCTTCCATTGGTGCTGTTTCCAGGTGGATGTAGAGTAGTCTGTCTTTACTTGTAAGTGGTGCCTGAAACACATCTCCTTTCTGTAGTGTAGACTCTGTACCTCTGAGGTTGAGTTCGAAACCTTGTTTATGCCATCTATGACGTAGAATGGCATCACCAAGTGTTGTCCTTGTATGTTTTTAAAGCGCACCCATCTGTATCCAAGAACCCAAAGGGGCTCATCTGTAACTGAGCGAAGTGGTGGTGTTTGTTCCTCTGTAAGAGGCATCAGTGGAAAGTCTGTACCAAAGGTTGGTGGACAGACATGTACTGCTGCGCCACTGTCGATCATGAGCTCGACAGTCTTGTAGGTGTTGAGGCCTGTGGTTGTGACTGAGGCAATTGTAGTTGTTCCAAACTCTACTGTGGAAACTACCTGCGCTGGTGCTGTAGGCATCTGTGGTGGCTGCTGTTCCTGGTTGTATGCCGCTTGCTGTTGCTGGTCATATTGCCACTGTTGGTGATCTGGGAACCATTGTTCCTCGTAGTGCCACTGTTCTTGTTCTGTCCATGGTTGTTGGTAGTATGACTGTTGTTGGTTGTACTGGTCTGTGCCTTCATCCATGTCTGTGACGTTGTAGACTGCCACTCTGCAGTCCCTTGCATAGTGGCCCTGTTGACCACATTTGTAACATGTTCCTTTTCCTTTGCCTTTGTTCATTGTTGTACTTTGCCATTGTGGTGGTCCTTTTCCTTTGCTCTTTCCTTTGTACTGCATTGCTCCCTTGAAAGGGTTGCCATGTCCAATCGGTGTTGGACCTTTGCCTTTATATCCTTGTTGGCTGTATCCTGTGTATCCTTTTCCTTTGTTGTGCCATTGTGTCTTTCCTTTTCCTTTGTTGTACTTTCCTTTACCCTTGTTGTTGTACTTTCCTTTTCCTTTGTACGTAGCTCCAATGTCCATGGGCTGTGCATCATTTGTGCTGCTGTTCATTGCCTGTTGTTGTGCTTGCATCTTGGAGAACGCTGTTGATGCTCTGTGGTATTCGAGAATGAGTTCTCGAATGTCTGCATATCGTTGTATGGCTCCTGCTCGCAGTTGTAGGTATTGTTGTAGTGGTCCTTTGGTCTCATTGAGTAGTATTGCAATTTTGATGTTGTCAGGTATTGGTGCTTGGTTGTCTCTTTCGTATCTTGCTATTTCAAATTCCCATGTTGTAAAAGACTCCTCAAATTTGTTTTCGTTGAACTGTGGTTTCAAAAGCTTTGTAAGGTACCCGACACTGCGTGTACCAAGTGGAATTGAAAAGCGTCTGTGTAGTTGTCTCCATGTCTCGAGACCAACTGCTTGTAGTGTATGTTGTCTGCAAAGGACAGCTGCTTGTCCTTGACAAACGTTGATGAGTAGGTAGTGTAGGTCTTTGCTGAGTTGTATCCAAAGGTCTGCTTCTTCTCTGTTTCTTGCACCGTCTGCTAGAAGCTCATCTGTAACTGGTTGATCAAATGTTTCTGCTATCTGTAGGAGCCTGGGGAATTGTGAATTCTGTAGCCCCAAGTAGGCCACAAACTTGTGTTTCCATTCTTCGAATGTTGCGTACTCTCCTGTAAAGTGTGGTGGTGGTAGTTTGTACCTGTGCATCGCATTGAGGTCTCCTCCAGTTGTAGCTGCTGCCATGTTTGTTGTTGTATGTTCTCACCTTGATGCTGTAGCTTTGTTGCCGTTGTGTATTGGAGCTCACCCTGTCCTGTATCGTCCAGGGATCACTGCTCCGCTACCATGTTGAAATCAAGTGTACAACTTCCCTGTCTGTACTCTCAGCAGCTGTAGCCCACGCGCTGTACTTTTCACTGTAGCGCTCGAGTAACGCTAGCTCAAGGGCCCTGTATGGAGCCCAAATGTATCGTACCATGACATGTACTCAAAGTAGACTAACATGTTGTATCAGCAACTGTATAGCTCATGTACATGTGCAGGCGTATTCTTAACAATGATGATGATGATGATGATGATGACGATGGCAATGACAATGACGATGACGAAAAGGATGAGAATGAGGATGATGATGATGATGGTGATGATGATGGTGGCGGTGGTGGTGATGATGATGGTGGTGATGATGGTGGTGATGATGGTGGTGATGATGGTGGTGATGATGGTGGTGACGATGGTGGTGATGATGGTGGTGATAATGGTGGTGATGATGGTGATGATGATGATGGTGGTGATGATGGTGATGATGGTGGTGATGATGATGATGATGGTGATGATGGTGATGATGATGATGATGATGAGGAGGAGGAGGGAGGAAAAGGATGATGAGAAGAGGGATGGGAATCAGGATGAGGATGAGAATGGGGATGAGAGAAATGATGAGACGTAGAATGGGGATGAGGATGAGGATGAGACAAAAAGATGAGACTGAGAATGAGGATGAGGAGAGGGAGGAGGAGAGGAATGAGGATGAGATTGGCGATCAAGATGAGGACCATTAGCAAGACCACCAGGAGCGACCATGAGACTGAGTGTCTCTCGTACCTGTTTGCATTTCTGCGGGCCAGCTGCTGGCGCGTGCAATTTAGCTGCATCCTTCCGCTGCCAATGCGAATGGCTGAACCAACGGTTTGGACATCGAAAGGGATGCTCTTGTCAAGCATGGACCGCGGCACGTGCAGGAGCCTGGGAGATGAGAAAGTGTCAACGGCTGTAAGGGGTGCTACTGGGTGCTTTGGATGCCACATGGCATCTTGAGGCCAAGAAGCACCTCACCACCTTCTTCTCCCCATGCCTAAGCTGAACGGTCTATCTTTTTAATTGTCCCTTTGCTAGCTGACGAACTCCGTGAAGACCTTTGGGTTTTCCTTTGGGTTTCTATAATCCCCTCTCCTCTGAAGACCATGCAGTCCTTCCTGGAAAGATTCAGAAACACGATACTTGGGTGGAAGTGGCATGACTGTGCATGATAACTCCATGGAACTGCACATGCAACACACGCAAAGCTGTGTTTTCATGATCATAAGGGGTGAGGGATCAAAACAAAAAAATATAAGGCATAAAAAAAAAATACTGGAACATCTGGTTTTTTTGTGGCCCTTGCAACAGTTTGGAAGCAAGACCGAACATGTCTATAATTTTTTAGCATTTGCAGCACTTTGGAAATGGAACCTCTAGCCCGTGATGACATGGGACCTGGAAACCGTGCGTTCGCATGTTTTGTAAGCATTTTGCAAGCACTTTGTGAACATGTTGGAGCTCGACGCTGCCGTTTTGACAATATTTGGAGCGGTTTGGAGTTCGAACCTCTCATTTCCGATGGTTGGTTTTAAATTTGTTTAGTGTTGGCTCAGGGCTATTGAAGGTTTAGGGATAATTTAGGGTTCGTTTAAGGGTTATTTAGGGTCGGTGTATGGGTTATTTCATGGTTATGTTGGGTTTATTTAGGGTAAAGTTTATTGATGATGGTTTAGAGTTGATTAAGGTTTGGTTTGGTAGTGATTTAAAATTGGTTTAGGCCGGTTTAGGGTTTAATTACTGTTGTTTTGGAAATTATTTAAGGTTAGTTTGGGGTTGGTTTATGGTTTACTTGGTGTTGTTTACAATTCATTTAGAGTTGGTCATGGGTTTCTTTTGGTTGGTTCAAGACTTTCTGTAGGGGTGGTTTAAAGTTTATTAAGGTTTCGTTTAGTCCCTATCGGTTTAAGTTTTGTTTTGGACTTGTTGAGGGTCGGTGTTTGGTTTATTTAGGGTTGGCTTGTGGTTTGTTTAAAGTTTAAAGGTTTCCAGGGTTTATTTAGGGTTCGTCGTAAGGTTGGTCTTAGGGTTAGTTTAAGGTTGCTTAGGATGGTTTAGGATTTATGTAGGTGCTGTCAAAATAACAATACGTGTGTATTTTATACCGGTTTAAGGTTTAGAGTCGGTCTGTAGTTTGTTTCGGTGTTATTTAGCGTCGTTTTATGGTTTCTTTAGGGTTGATTTAAAAATTATTTGGATTTATGTAGGGTTGGTTCGTGATGTTTGTGGTTTACTTAGGGTTTGCTTAGGATTTATCTAGGGTTGGTTTGTGGTTCTTTTGTTTGTTATTCGAGCTTTATTTAAGGTTGGCTTATGTCTTGATAGATCGGTTTGGGGTTTACTTAGGGTTGGTCTACGGTTAGCTTAGTGCTAATATATTCACACTTCTCTAGGGTTCATTTAAGGGTCGGTTTTGGTTTCGAATGCGATTTCTTTAGGGTTGGTTTAGGGCTACAAGTTATTTAGTGCTCGTTTCTATATATGTATTTTTTGAAACGTTTGGCGTAATTGAGTTCAACTAAGTTTTATTCAAAATTGTTTTAATGCACCAGAATCACCAAAGACAGAATGCTCAAGGGACCCAGAGGACCGAGGCACCACAGGACCAAGGACCAAGGGACCAAAGGACCAAGGGACCAGAGGACTAGAGCACCGGGAGATTCGAAAACATACCAGATTTGACAAGGGGCAAAACATTTCACCAGCGCAGGAAATCTGATTTCTTTGGTCCTTTAGGTATGTTTTGTTGATGCCCTAATATGCCTCAATTGAATATTTATTTTTGTTGCCTTAAATAACGTTTTTGAACCCCATGCCGACCACAAGTGGGTTCGCAAATTGCCACTTGATAAAGGCATGTAATTATTACTCAATGTCCTCAGGGTTTGCACATATTTTGCACATGACTATGCCGAATTTAGGCGGGTGGGCAACTGTGGCACCTTGGAACCCTGTCCTGCTGAAGGGCTGCTTTCATAGGAATGTCTCCGCTCATTTCACCACAGTTCACCGTTACAACCAGTTTACCCTCCGCAGGGTCCCAGTCACCTGCGGACAAAGGCCCGTCCAATTGGCGTAAGGGCAACGAAGGAAACTGTTCGGAAATGCTTGAAGACCGTTAGTTATACATGCCATGTGTCCATAGCATCATGTTGATCTCGTATGACCTCGTATGGTACCAATTTGAGATGAAGCTGGTAAAAACACGGGCTGTAAAAAGTTCCAGGCTGTGCCTGGCAAGGTTGAACCAGGCAGCTGAACTGCATAGGCTATGGCCCTGACCTGAATTGTAATGGCATGCCCTGGTGTGTGTGACATGAAGAAGAACATTGAAAAACAAATTAACTACACCAGCAAGAGGCCCCAAACAGTGTGGGGGGTAGGAAGTCATCGTACCAGATACAAGCAACAGTAGCTATGGAACAGTAACAGTTGAGGTTAGACATGACCGCAACTGCCGCAGCAGGACCTTCCATATAGATCTATATGAATAAGCTCACAAGATCTTCATACAAGATTTTCCTATGAGCAGCCCAGAAGAACTTTCACATAAGCACCGACGCAGAAGATCTTCACGACCTCTTCAGAAGGGTTTCAACAGGATCTCCACAAGATCTTCTCACAAGGACCTGTACGAAATCATGTAAGGACACATAAAGGACTTCACCAGGACCTCTTCAAGAGCTTCTCACAAGGACCTGCACAAGATCATGCAAAAGCCCCTGACTGCATTTCACTAGGATCTTCACAAGAGCTTCTCACAAGGACTCGTACAAGACCTTGACCGACATCTCTATGCCAGTTATGCGAGAATTTGCAGGACAAATGCCGCACCCCAGGTCCGGGAGCAATTTCTTGCGAGAATTCCTCCACAATCGACATGCATGGACACATTTACGTGGGCATTCTCAAGGAAAAGGCCGGGGCCCAAGATCCGGAGAAGCCCGCGCCGCAGACTTTGCGCGGGCCTGCGCAGTCGAAATGCATGTGGATGCATGTGGACATCTTACAAAAGCAATTTTTTGCGAGAATTTATTGGAAAAATGCCAGTGTCCAGAGAGCGTATCCTGATCTAACCCTGGTCGAGACTCTTACCGTAAGAACGCCTCAGTGTGGACACGCTGTTTGGGGAAAAAGCTCAAAGTTGAGAAACAAAGAGTGCTCAAATGTATGCACTGTCGAAGGTTAGCTGTGACGTGGGCCAGAATCCTGCAGCAAATCTGCGGTCAGGAGATATGTGACGGTCGAAATGCACATGGACATCTCACAAGGGCAACTCTATGCGAAAATTTACACTACAGCAAAGATGCCGTGCAACAGCAAGGCGACAACCACTTTGTGCGAGCCTGCGCAGTCGAAACGCTCAATCAGATCTCACAAGAGCTATTCTATGAGAGAATTTACAGGATAAATGCCGCGCCCCAAGATCTGGAGAACACCGCGCCGCAGACTTTGCCCATGGACATCTCACAAGAGCAATTTCGCGCGAGAATTTGCAGGAAAAACGCCGGGGCCCCAGAGAGCGTACCCTGATCCTTAGCTCTTACCGAATGAACCCCTCAGTGTGGACACACTGTTTGGGAAACCGTCATGTACAGAATTAAGATCTCTTGGGGTATTACGTGGACAGATTTTGTACATAATACAATGTTATAGAATGGGAGTTTTAGCCCAAAAAAATGGTGATCATATGTCTGCTGGCACCCAGTTATGGCCATCAAATAATAGGGAAAAAACTTTTAGGCAATGGATGGAATGGGGTCCGCCGTTTTCACACAAACCCACAGTAGCCATGGTCGAAAGTACCCAAGCGTGTCATCAAAATAGTAAGCCCCTATCGTTTTACAGGGTTTCCTGTTTTACCTCTGTTTAATCATAGTTTTGAAGGGTGTCATCCACATTGGATCCTCATCCCACGGTCTTTGCTTGCATGCGTTTGAGCACGCTTCCACTTTCGCCCATGCTTGGTGTTAAGCAGATTCAGCGTGAGTTTCGAAGCTTGTCGTTTGTCTCCCAAGTGGTTCTCATTTTGCGGTCCCTCCAATCAGCAGGTCTTTGGAAATTCGCAAAGAACATGGGTTTCGGCCACTCATAGCTGCTAACTTCAAAATACCATTCAGCCAGCGCGCCGGATTTCATTCCGACACTACGACGTACTACCAACAGCATCCACCACCTTTTTGGTCTGTTTTGTGACCAGCTGGTCACTCAGTTTTTTTTTGGAAAGGTTTGCGTATCGTTTGGGTATCGTTTTGGGTATCGTTCTGCGCGGGCTCCATCTTTGCAAGTCACGTGGGGGTGCAACTGAACGAATAGCTTGCAGTGCAAAAGAGGCCCGCTCACCCCGACTCAGGCTCTCAAAGGAAAAGGGCCAACAGGTTGACACACCAGGTCCAGGCCAGGCAACTTAAAACGAGATATTACATGGAGTTAGCCACTTCAGCGTGCCTGCGCTGCCGGTTTCCGTAATCTAGCTAGCTACTTGGCGCCGGGTTTGAGCAACCCGCCTACGGCAAAGTCATTTAAAGTCAACCCACCCCATGGGCACACCCATTCATGGTGAAGTGGATCCACCCGTGTAAAGACGACTCCGCGCAAGCAAAACAACATGGCCACACCACAAAACGTACCAATTAAATACTCAGGACCTTTGCGATGGCTTCACACAAGGGCGCACACACGCTCCATACCCCAGTGATTTAACAACAAATGCGCCACTCGCAAGACAAAATGTTTGTGAGCCCCCTATCGTTTTAGAAGGTTTCATGCAAAAAGTATTACCGATGCACACTCCAATACATACTTAACGGAAACTCAAAGGGAACGATGGATAGGTGAAACATTGGGACACCTTCATTTCGTTAAGCCGCCTGCAAGCCCAAGGAACCGTTTCACCGTTGTCAAATTTGGCCGAGGCACAACCACCAACTGGTCCTCGTGCGAGACTGCTCGGCTCAGCGACACTGATCGGTTCAACTCAACCGATTCTCTAATGGATTCTCGTTCAGGACTTTCCCGAGGACTTTCTCCCTGATTCAGAAAGCTCAATCTTGGTTTTGAATTTTCCTTGGAGGTAAGGAGGAAGGCAGCGGATGAGGAGATGCGGATGCGGCAAGAGATTGGTTGGATCTTAGGAATAAAGTGGCCCAACATGTGGTTGAGATCTGTTAGAGTACTACATAAACATACATAACAAGTTTTCATACCGATGGCCAAATGTCCCTGGGGGTGGCCAAAAGTGAGGATGAGCTATGTTACGCGCGCAATGGGTTGGGATTGGTGATAAAACGCGCCCTTGGCAGTGATTGTGGGGGAAGAGGATGTTGTTCCTGAGGGCCCGAAAGGTCTTGGAGTGATGGTGTTTCATTGGTTTGGGCTTCAATTGTGGGATCCTCCTGCTTCACGGAACGCGGGCCCTCGATACCGTTGGCCATCCCATGCCATCCCAAACTCCTTATTTGTTTGCAAATATTCTAGCATACGGAAGGATTTCACAATTTTAGCGAGTCACGTCTAATTCCAAAGGTTCTGGCGCAACTCGAGTTCTACTTGCACCCCGGCCACTTTCTGGTTCCACTTCTCCCTGCAAGTGGGTCACAAGAAATCAAGGGCATAAGATGTGGCCAAGATAATTCCATACTTCCAACACGTTCAACCAGGGTGGCACATGTTGTCAATTCTTGTATTCAAATTTCAGTGATGATACCCTTGGAGGGCTCGGCCTGGCGCACTTCCGGCAGTTCTTCCAGGCAATCTACGGTGATGGTGGGGGGTCCAGACAACATCTCTGCAGCTTCCTGGCATCACAACACAAACATGGAGGAAATCTCCTGAATACTTATTGCATCATAAGCTATATTAATGCATATCCATGGCTGTGGCAACCAAAGGCAAACAGCATCACTGCCTCCCGCAGAGGATGCTCCATACAACGCTCCTGGTCACATGTTCACTGTTTGGTAGTTTCGCATAACTTCGCACATCAATCTGCGAACAGCCTGCCGAAGCAAATCAACTTCATGATTTCCAATTCTTCAGTCTTTTCGTGTCCTCCGGATCCCCTCCACGCTGCAAACGTCTGATCTCTTCATTGAGCTGCTCAATTTCAAGTTTTAAGCCGTGTGTTTCCTGCAATCCAGATCAGGACACTGAGCATGCAACACGGCACTGGCTGGTATTTTTTTCAATGCGCTCGAGACAATTTTTTCAACACCCACCGCGACTATATGTTTCAACCGTCAGCTGGTGAAACCATGTGAAACCACCAGCCCTGACTACGTCGTCCTCGTGTGCGTAATCGATACCTACCGAAATTATTTGCTCTTGCAGCTGTTCGTTCTCGGACTTCAAGAGCTGTACTTCCCGGTCCTTGGGCATACTGCCACCCCGTGGTGCGATGACAAAAATGGATTTCAATCAAACCATTCAAAAACTAATTACAAAAAAAAAACTCCTGAAACTGATGATCTGAATCTCATCCCGGGAAAGAGCCAAAGAGCCTGAATTAGGGTCTGGTCACCTACCCGGGTGTGAAACAAGCCCCTGATAGAACTTGAGGCCTGGGGGTAAGGGACGAAAGCTAGCTGGGCAGGGCGCTTGGCATGAAAACACAATGGTGCTGAGGACGCGGATGCTGCCGAATGTGCTGCCGGTGGCAACATGCCGACAGTGTCCCCGAGAGGATTGAGCCACGGCCAAACTGCTTGTGAACCAGCCAGCCGGGGAGGGGAAGAGGGTAGTTAACTGTCAAGTTTCGTGCGATTGGGGATTCCACCCCCTCCAATACCTTGCTAAAGCAGGAGGGGCTTCAGCTAGCAGAAGCTAGCTTTCGTGAAAAACACAAAGAAACTCCTCAGGAACCAGCGCCCACGCACAGCCCAACATCGCTCAGCGACGCAGCTGGTTCGAGAACCAAGGCCCAAGAGGTAAAAGGGCCAAGTCAAGAATTACCAAATAGGACTGGTAAGGAAAACGCATGATAATCTTCGAAATGGGTGAATCTTCGAAATGGGTGAGAGACCCACTGGAAACTGTGATCAAAAAGTTTCCAAACAATGGATACTATCAATCAAGGCAAGGGGCATGCTGTGCCACCAGCTCTTCGATCAGTTGCTGAAAGCGCCCCGGTGGCCCCAGCGACGTTGCCGCAAAATCAGCCATGGGCAATGAACCCGCCACGCATCAACGACGTCAAGATCCTCAAGAAAGTAGCTAGTTGACTCTGTGCGCATTTGCTTTTGTTGAATTGTCATAACTCAGTCGTTGTGCATTTTTGCACGTATGGGTTGTCATGGGTTAGATGCCCCAGGATGTACTGACACTCTCCTGCCATTGTAGTTTTTAGACTGACGGACATGCCTTGCAATTTCATCGAATTTTATGCAATGATTTTCGCACCGTTTGTTTTTCCGTTGTCCAGCTGCAAATGCTACCAGAGAAATGTCTGGCGTGCCCAGAGAGCAATGATATTGAAAGAAACGATGCGTTCCGGCCGGTGCCGTTCAAGTGGCGCAGCGCAATTACTGCCAAGGACGTTTTGCCAGATTGATTTCATCATATTTCAACATAGCATGTATATAGAGAGAGAGAGATCTATACTTATATATAATTATATATATATACATATGTATCTTCAAATTGTCTGTCAAAATCTCCTTGCCCATTCATTGTGGATTTGATCTGCATGTGTCAGCATGCTTCATCCATTGGTCATCTATGTTGGTGCTGACTGGATCTCCCACTCTCATCCCTCCGTTCTTCATGGTGGAAATGTTCAAACTGCATCACTTGGGGAATGCCTTGGCCTCTTTGTCTGTGGAGGCCTGAAGCAATTTCTTAAACACACCGTAATTTACAGAAACTATTCCGTAAACAAATCCAAGTTTGACATGTTTTTTAACAATATCCAAAAAAAAATACTTTAATAAAAACGATAATGTAACTTAGGACTTCTAGGGATTGGTTTGCAACGGCTTGAAACGGTTTCGGGCTACTACCCAGCAAGCAGTATGAAACGGTTTGAAACGGTCTCGGACGGTCTCGGACAATTGCTAATTAGCCAATATGCAGAAACTGTTTGAAACTGTTTGAAAGTATTTGAAACTATTCGGGGTTTTTGCCAGGGTGAAGTAGCAAATAGTAGGAAACGGTTTGATACGGTTTCGGGCTATTACCTAGGAAGTTACGGGAATCGGTTTGAAACGGTTTCTATGATACCCAGTATCTTCTTATGTAAAAATCATCAAAATTCAAGAACATATTTTTAAAACTGACTAAATCTGAATACAGCTTAATAAAGTTGACAAGTATCGGCATAGATAAAAATAAAACACAAGAAAAGGCGACTGATTGATAAGTAAGAAAGTAACAGTGCCTGATTCTGAGACGAAGGATTGAAGAGCATAGAACAAAAGAAAATTAAAAACCCCTTCGCCAACAGCCTGGCAGTCTTGGGGTTAAAAAAACTCAACCCAAAGCCAGAAGAACCGGTTCACTTGTGTGGGGCACTCTCTTTGACTGTATGGTTCCAGATCCCCAAACGGTTCCAAACCCAATTCTTCTCTCATGGAACGGATGATTTTCTGGACTTCAAGTGCTTGACTGCCATCCTGGTCCAATGGTTGGGACAGGCAAACCTGAGAAGGGGGGAACGAAAGCCAGCATCCCATCTACCCCTATTTTCCCCCAAAGATGTTTCACCCATATACTTTTCACCCACAGACTTTTCACCAAGAGTCTTTCACACATATACTTTTCACCCAGAGACTCTTCACCCAGAAACTCTTGCACAGGCTTTTCACCCAGAGACTTTTCACCCACTGGTTTTTCACCCACATACTTTTCACCCACCGACTTTCACCCATATATTTTTCACTCACAGACTTTTCACCCACCGTCTTTCACCCATATACTTTTCACCCAACACTGTTCAACCATATACTTTTCACCCACAGACTTTCACCCATACACTTTTCGCCCACAGACGTTTCACCCACAGACTTCGCACCTCAGACTTTATCCCCCATACCCGTCTCACCCACAGACTTTTCACCCGTATACTTTTCACCCAGGGACTTTTCACCCACAGTCTTTCACCCATATACTTCTCACCCATATACTTTTCACCCGCAGACTGTTCAAGCATATATTTTTCACCCGTAGACTTTTCACCCAGAAACTCTTCACCAATATACATTTTACACTCGGATTTTTCCCCCATATACTTTTCACCCACAGACTTTTCACCCACAGACTCTTCACCCACAGACTTATCACCCTCAGACCTTCCACCCACAGACCTTCACCCACTGACTTTTTAGGCACAGACTTTTCACAGGCGAGGGGCTCACTTTGGGCATAAATTCGTGCTCACTTTGGGCATAAATTGGGCTCACTTGGGGCATGAATGGATCCACTTTAGGCATAAATGGATCCACTTTAGGCATAAATGGATCCACTTTGGGCATAAATGGGTTCACTTTGGGCATAAATGGTTTCACTTTGGGCATAAATGGGCTCACTTTGGGCATAAATGGGCTCACTTTGCGCAAGAAAAGCAGAGCCACGACACCTTTAGGGTAAGAAGAGCCACGGCACCTTTAGGACACCTTTTGGGTTTCTTTGTTGTTGCACTCATTGTCAGGAGAGACACGGTTTATTTGTTGTTGCACTTAATGTAAGAAGCCACGACACCTTCAGTGTTTGTATGTTGTTGGTTTATTTGTTGTTGCACTTAATGTAAGAAGAGCCACGACACCTTTAGTGTTTATATGTTGTTGCACTTAATGTAAAAAGAACCATGGCATCTTTAGGCTTATATATATTTTTTTTTTTTTCACCCATACACTCTTCTTGTTGTGAATCAGGGATGGCAGAGCGAAACCATTGATGGACTGAAAGGTGCTTGAGGTCTCCTCTCTCTCTTTCTCTGACGATCTACCTGCCTACCTACCTATCTTCTATGTATCTATCTATCAATCGATCTATGTCTCTCTCTTTTTCATCTAATTACCTATCTCTCTCTCTCTCTCTTTCTCTGTCTATCTGTCTATCTGTCTATCTGTCTACCTGCCTATCTGCGGTGCAGTGTCATTCAGTGTAATGTAGTGTAGTGTAATGTAATGTAATGTAGTGGAGTGTGGTTGTGTAGTCGTAGTTGTAGTTGTAAAGTACTGGAGTGTAGTGTAGTGTAATGTAGTGAAGTGTAGTGGAAGGTAGTGTAGTGTAGTGTAGCGTAGTGGAGTGTAGTGTAGTGTAATGTAGTGTCGTGTATGTAGCGTAATTTGGTGTAGTGGAGTGTAGTGGCGTGTATTGTAGTGGAGTGTAGTTGCGTAGTTGTAGTTGTAGTGTAGTGGAGTGTAGTGTAATGTAGTGAAGTGTAGCGGAAGGTAGTGCAGTGTAGTGTAATGTCGTGTAGTGTAGTGGAGTGTAGTGGAGTGTAGTGTAGTGTAATGTTCTAACTCTCACATTTGCAATCGTGAAGCTGACCCTTCTTTATCTTTTTTGGCAAGCAGTGCTGGCAATACCCACGCTCAATTTGATTCTGTTTTTCTCCCCTTTCATGTTGCTTTCCAAACTTGTACCTTTTCTATTGCACCTTCCTTCTTTTAGAAGGTGCACAACCCCCAACAGGTTTGCTGTCCATAGTTCGGAGGGTGCGTTTCCTGGATTGAGAACGTTTCTTGGATTGACTACGTTTCTTGGATTGAGTACGTTTCTTGGATTGAGTACGTTTCTTGGATTGAGTGCGTTTCTTGGATTGAGTACGTTTCTTGGATTGAGTACGTTTCTTGGAATGACTACGTTTCCTCGATTGAGTTCCCCACCCAGCAGCCCCATCCCATTTCCAGATCGCCTCCATCAACTCTGCAAAAATAAAAAGTACGTTCCAAAAAGAACGATGTCATTTTTGCACACCTTCCACGGTTTTAGCTTCATAAATCTCACATTCGCATTCGTTATGGCCAACATACTTTCTACTTTTTTACAATTTCATTCTGTGCTCCCCGAAAGTTAAAACACCGTTTCCTGGATTGAGTACGTTTCCTGGATTGAGAACGTTTCCTGGATTGAGTACGTTTCCTGGATTGAGAACGTTTCCTGGATTGAGTGCGTTTCTTGGATTGAGTGCGTTTTTTGGATTGAGCACGTTTCTTGGATTGAGTGCGTTTCTTGGATTGAGTACGATTCTTGGATTGAGTACGTTTCTTGGATTGAGTGCGTTTGCTCGATTGGCAGTGCGACCATGATCTCAAGCATGCAAAAACAACAATCAAATTTTTGCATCTCCCCCAGCTTAAAAGAACGATAAAGGTATTGAGACCGAATGCTGGAAAAGAATGCGCATTCATGGGTTGGAAATGTAGTGTAGTGTAATGTAGTATAATTTAGTGTAGTGGAGTGTGGTTGCGCAGTTGTAGTTGTAGTGTTGTGTCATGTAGCGTATTGTAGTGGAGCGTACGTAGTGTAGTGGAGTGTAGTGTAATGTGGTGTAGTGTAGTGAAGCGAAGCGACATCTGAAACTCCAAAAGTGGTCCGAACCCCTAGTGTTTTTCACATGTTGACTTCCAAATGTGCTTCGCGCCACAACGGCGTGCACTTTTTCGACACCTGAACCTCCAAAAATGGTCCGAACCCCTGGTGCTTTGAACATTTTGACTCCCAAATGTGTTTCGCGCCACAACGGCGTGCACTTTTTCGACATCGCAACTTCCAAAAGTGGTCCGACGCTGGTGTGCTTTGTACATTTTAACTTCGAAATGTGCTTCGCGCCACAACATCCACAACGGCGTGCACTTTTTCGACATCGCAATTTCCAAAAGTGGTCCGAACCCCTGGTGTTTTTAACATTTTGACTTCGAAATGTGTTTCGCGCCACAACGGCGTGCACTTTTTCGACATCGCAACTTCCAAAAGTGGTCCGACGCTAGTGTGCTTTGCACATTTTGACTTGGAAATGCGTTTCGCGCCACAGCGGTGTGCATTTTTTTGACATCGCAACTTCCAAAAGTGGTCCGACCATGGTGTGTTTTGTACATTTTGACTTGAAAATGTGCTTCGCGCCACAACGGCGTGCAATTTTTCATCTCTCATCTAGCCAGCTGGCTCCGCACCCGCCGCTTTAGCGCGCCCACAAATCATTGGAAAAACACAGTGAATCGCGACTTTCCTACCTTTTCGCGCATC